GACTGATATTCCTAGTTCATAATTTTGTCATATCATCGAGCAGACAGATAACTGAACTTCAAACAGTTTACTGATCTTCGCCAAGGTGAAGGATGTTCAATGTGCATCAATCAGCTTCATGCCATGAAAAAGCGCATATGGCAGAGGTGTCACCTTGTACTTCTGTTAACTGATGATGCTAATATATACTGTTAACTATTGAGATTATTTATTCTAGCCAGTCACCTAGTTATTACGATAGCATTAAAAACAGGTTAAGTATTAACCACGGGGCGTGACTTCGACGTAAGCTAGGAAATCACACCATTCCTGTTCAACCCTAGTATATATATATTTTTATTTATTTATTTATTTAAGGTCAATAAGAACCAATCAACGTTGAGGTGCACAGGACAAGCTGTGAAACACATGGAGGAATTCGAACACTTCACTTCTATCTGAAGTTTTTGCTTATGATGTCGTTCAGAAGAACGATGAAAGCTCCACGACCAAACCATCCAGCTCAGAGAACAAAACTCCACCAAAACCTTTTTATGATATATAAATATGAAAATCAAATATGATGCATGTAAGATGAAGTACAGATGTGAAAAACACGAAAAAAAAATCACAAATTGTATGCTTCAAGAGCACGAATATTTTAATGTTAAATGATTTAAACAGAAAATCTACCTCTTTTCAATAGTTGAATTTTGTTTTGAACATTGAAGATTAGCCCACCCAGTCAAATTAATTTCTGTACAATTAGACATACATAAACCCATTTATGTTGTTGAACATATGTGGTTTAACATTTATTGGTTTCAGTCGAAAATTTTTCTTTTTCAAAGAATTTATCCTTTTAATAAAGAGCAAATAAATAATCCGTATTAGTATGGAGATTGTTGAGATCATGAATCAATACAAGTTAAACAACTATCAAAAACCTGAAAGCATTGGATAGCTGTTTCATCCTAGTTTGAGACTACTTAACAATGTTCATTTATGACTAAGAACTGAGGATTCAATTCATCAACTTTGATCTCGTGCGCAAACGTCTAATCTCTTGACTACTGAGTCTGGATTCAATTATGTGCATGTCTAACTTCAATCAGTTCACAATATTGTGCAACACTTAATCATTACACGTGGCGTAAAACGATCTTCCAGATAACACTGTTAAATCTAAGTGATCAGCTCTTCTCATTAGAACATCAGGAATTGCATCTTGAAGGTTATTAGCGGGACATAAATTGTATGAAAGCATGCTCAATGCACGATTGCGTTGCTGCAGGTTGATTGGCTAATGCTTATCCAATCAGCTCTGGTTGATGCTTGGAGAACACTCTAGAATCTTCTGACGTAAAAACTGTAAATATCCTAACGTTTTCCCTACTGTTTTTTTTTACTTCCATCTAACTTTTTTATTTGGAATATAATCCATTCCCTGTTCAAACGTGTTCTGATTTGGGGACTTTGTCGAGTGAATTGGTGTCCAAGAATACTAAACAATAAGAATAGCTGGGTTGTAATAAGAGAGAATTATAACAAAGGTAGTCACACATTAGATCATCTGTATTCTCATTTATTAAATAGACTATAGCAATAAAATATTGAGGATTCGTTTTAATTCTAATATAATACTACTCATTATTCATTTGCTGCATAAACTAATGAGTTTTCTACCTTTACAATTGTGATATTGATTTGTGACATCAGAAATGTGTTTTCCATAACCATATGTATGTACGATCAATTATTCGTCAAATAGATTTGATTAGTTTGTTTAAAATTTATAATTGTATAAATAATATTTTTATTACTGTTACAATTAACATACGGTTCCGATGAACTAGACCCAGAGGTATTGCTTTTCTGCATATGCAGAATATTTAAATATAAATGTCTATAATACACAAACAGGCGATGATTACATCTCAGTCCTACAGGAGGTCGGTCGCGGCTCGGATAGCTCAGTGGTAACGTCTCTGACAGTGAAGCTGGGTGACACGAGATCGAATCCGCCAGGGAGCATCAGTACCCTCAAGATTACAGGTACACCTTGCTGACGAGTGCCAAGTAGCACGAAACCCGGGTCCAGGGTTTCCTGTCGACTACCTCTGATCACCATCTAATTCTACAATAATGCACGCAGTGTCGAATCACCTAGACTGGTGGACACATTGCAACATAGTCGATAGCATTCGATTTGCACTAATAAGGACTAGACACGCATGACATTGATCACCACCCAGTGATCAATCAATTGTGATGATAAACCTTATTTTACCGTCCATCTTTCCTAATTATCTCATGTATTCATATGTTTTAATCTGTATAGTAGATGAAATAAATCATTCAGGGTAATACATTTATGAATAAGCATAATTCGATCCGTATATTTCCTGGATATAATCTTTTAGAAAATATTTAGATGAAATGCGAACTGAGCATTAAATACAAATGTATATTTTTTGTTGTCAAATGGTCATAATGTTATTAGTAGTATTGAAATGAATTATTATGAACTTTAACTACTCATAAGCAGTATAATACATTTCCATTAAATTCTAAAATTAGGATCAATGACAGATTAGCAAAGAAAATTGTCCTTTCAATGATTTGATTCACTTAGGCTGTACAATTGTATTCATAATTTTTTTTATCTGCTCAAATTATAGCATACAGTAAAACAGAATGGTATTGAATAATGAAGAAATTTGAACTGATATAGTGTCACATAAATTATTTGCGAAAATCAAATATTGAGAAGTTAGGTAATAACCGGTTAGTGAAAAGCGTTAAAGTGATAATTGCCCACTCGACAGTTATTATGAGAGAGTAATTAAAAGTCGTAATAATGACTAATTAATTCTTGAGAAGAGTGATTAGAAAGTAAAGAAAGATAAATTATGAAAAGAAGAACTGAACATACTAGTTATTGTACGCAACAGTTAGGCTTGAAGTATCGGAAAGCAATAGCCTCTGCCGTACATACGTTTTTCATATGGATTCCTCTTGAACTGGCTTTTCCCACTACATAGGATTTGGAAGGAAGCTTCTGGTGAAGAGGAATAACCAGACTTCACTAGATGATCTATGATTTAGCTTTTGTCTGACTTCTGTAGTGTTTTAGGAAGCCAGGCATCTCCAAATATAGCTCAAGCTCTATTCCATAATTATTAGTAAATATAATACAAATCTAGCTATCTAGTAATCAATTCAGAAGTTGAGCTATAACACACTACTACAAATCATGGTTTAAATCTCTTCTAATCACGTAGAATTGTACCTGGCTGTTGTCTAAATAAGAAGGGCGAAACAAATTGATTTTATTGTTAAAATGAGTTTCGCTGGTATGTTGGATGACAAAGGTTAATTTGAAGTTCTCATGGTTATAAGGTATTAGTATTCTTTTACGCATAACATTCTAGTGTCTTTAGTATGGCTAGTCTTTCTTACTATCATTCCTGCTATAATTAATTTGATCACTTTACCATCCAACATTCTGTAACCTTGTGGTATGAGAACCTAGACTAATGCACACATATGTGTCAGACGACGTTTATTATAACTAGATATAAATATGAGAAATCTGTAAGTTGAACAGTCACACAAATTCACAACATTTTTATGATAAAAGATTATCATCATCACTACAGAGCTTAGTTGTAACAGAAAGTTAGGGTCGAATCAGTCAAGAGATAGCGTCAATTCATGAAATCATTAACTATTAGAATAAACCATGTTGACAAAGTCCTGACGTCTTGCTTCGAGTTCACGTTGCTATCGTAACCAATGGTGGTAAAACATTGGGTGGCATGATGCTAAATCACGTTCAATTATGCAGGTGTGTTCAGTTTTTTGTCCCTCTTTAGATTGTAAACTTAAATATCATCTTTTACATTTCATTGTGCGAAATTATTTTTTCTTCTCGAACAATATTTTCCTTTGCCTAATCTTTTGTACTATCACTGATGTTACTAATTCTACTACTCTGACATTTGTCTTCATTTCGCTATATTGATACGCTGAAACAACTTGAACCAATGTAAATTGTACATAGCTTTAGATTGACTTATTGTCTTTTATGTGTGACGAGATCTCAGCACGGATAAGGAGGGCTCGACTAGCTTTTGCCAACTTGCGTCATTTATGGCGTAGGCGAGATATCCGTCTACAAACCAAAGGACGGATTTACTGCGCAGCAGTTCGTTCCGTCCTACTTTACAGCAGTGAAACATGCCCGGTAAGAGTAGAGGATATTCGTAGGTTACTAGTACTTGATCATAGGTGTCTTCGAAACATTGCTCGTATATCCTGAGACCACCGAGTAAGTAATGCAGTTAGGAAACGGGTATTAGATAAGGATGGCAGATCGATTGATGAAGGGGTGAAACTTCATCAGTTGAGATGGTTGGAACATGTGTTACATATGCCCAACCATCGGCTGCCTCGACGTGCAATGCTCAATGGTATAGAAGTAGGTTAGAAGAAAGCTAGGGGCGGCCAGACTAAAACATGGAACAAATCCATGAAGTCACTGACAAGCGGTAGGTGTAGACTACTTGGTTGGGATCCCCGAGATGATAGCAACCGATGGTTAGAGACCTTGAATCACATGACTCTAAATCGTTTGCACTGGCGCAGGTGCATCCACTCTTTGTGTTCTCCAAAATTCTAATCTTCTGAATTCTTCATGTCCCTTTTTTCTCTTTCTAAATTTATTTCACTGGACTATACTCCGTGAATAACATCTTCAAACCCTAATGTTCCCGATTACTGTTTATACTCTTACTACCTCTACCACTACGGGATTTGAATCGACAACTGCATCTCTGTTCTAATGTGGTATGGCAGCTAAAACTGATGTACGTATGTACGAAGTTCTCCGTTGTTACTAACTGACTATGTAGAAAATAGAATATACTAACGTATAATTTTAATAACATTAATATTTTTGGCTTAAAATGAGAAAATAAGATGGACAAATTAGTAGTAAACAATACTAGTTAATTATTGCAAATACCACAGAATGAAGTTTTATTTTAACGAAAAAAAAGAAGTTACTTACAAATAGTAGTAAAGCCTTGTTTTTAAAGAAAAATAACTTTGGACAAGAATATTGATTGTTAATAACGCATTCAGTTATACATTAATCAAGAAAAAGGGTATTATGTGAGATAAAAAGTAATCATCCGGTCACAGAGCTGGGAGAAAAAAAAACAATGTTAGTACAGTTAAAACGATTTATTGTAAGTCGGTAGGAGGCGGGGGAACAGAGAGAGTGAGAGAGTAATCGTGTAACCACATTTTTCACGTGACAAAATTATCATTATGACTACTAGAAATTTTATTGCAATAATATTACGATAATTTATCATTACAACAACAGTAATAATATTACTGTTGTCAAGTTGATCCATTCAAATTAGACGGGAATAAACATTTCACTGGCATAATTCCATGATTACTACTAATCCCATTCATATGCATGTTAGTTTGAACAAGAGAAATATCTTTAACTTCATCAGTGAATGGTGGACAATTTGTTAAACTGTTCTTACGATGTATAGGTAAGATTGGTGATAAATCAGGACTTTGAAATGATATATCAGTGTAACAAACATTTGGACTAGTACTACCACAACGAAATTGTTGTTGATATTGTGGTGAATTCATTTGAGATGAACAATAATCAATATGTTTGTAATAACCAACATTTGTATTAGTATCATCAAAATATATAACATTATCATTATTATCAATACTTTTAGAAATGTGTTCAACTGTAGTTCGATTCAACGTATGCATACTGACTGAATTATCTGAAATGAAAAGATTTATTATTATTGAAGAATTATCTTCGCATAGACTTTTATCACATAAATAATTAATTGATGAGAAGCTAGTTATGTTGTACAAGCATACATACAGAATTTTGGGATTTCTATGTAGTTTTGTTCTCTGAGCTGGATGGTTTGTTCGTGGAGCTTTTATCGTTATTCTGAACGACATCATCAGTACAAACTGCAGGTAGAAGTGAAGTGTTCGAACTTCTCCACATATGGCTCACAGCTTGTCCTGTAGACCTCGATGTTCATTGGTTAGTGTTGACCTTTAACCTGTCATTGTTTACCTCTTTATTTTGGTTATATCTCCTATTGATTTGATTCTTGGTCCTATATGAGATACAACCAAAATAACGTAAACAATGACCAATCAACATCGAGGTCTACAAGACAAGCTGAGAGCCAAATGTGGAGAAGTTCGAACATTTCATTCCTAACTGAAGTTTGTGCTGATGATGTCGTTCAGAATAACGATGGAAGCTCCACAAACAAACCATCCAGCTCAGAGAACAAAGCTCCATCAAAATCATCCACCTGAGCTACACATCTCCATTTTTATAGAGTAAATATCGTCGAAAAACACAACAAATCGTATACAAAGATATTTAAAGATCTATGAATGTTATTTTGAAAGACATTTGTTTAGTTAGCTTATGTAGTAAGGCCTCTTTTATTGTAGTTTAATAACATTTAGTTAAGCCGTAGATTGTTAATATTTCCCTTGTAAATGATAGAGAGTTACTTTCAACAATAACTGTTTTTATAAACAAAGAAGTTTAGAGACGAAAGAATATGCCAATGTAAAACAACTTTCGGCATTGCGAAGAAAGAAAAGAGATAACATAAGTATCAGAATTTTATAGTTTATATCACGGACTGATCCTAGTTAACTATGTAGTGAAAATCAGCAGCTCTTATTCACGAACCCACTGAGGATTGTTGAACCTATAGGTTTAACCTTCAGATTGAATCGAGATTCAATGGATTGTATAAATAAATTTGATCTATTCGCCATATTATACAATCAACTTTAGTGTCATCCGTCGGTAATTGCCTCACATATGACGGTTGAACTTCACTGATCTCAACCTCTCACTAGGACCCTCGGAATTATTCTCCTGCAAGTAGTCACTAGAAAGTATATGATTATTATCACTATAAGAGGTATGTAGAGCTCACCGGATTTTGTAGTTTATACCACAGACTAGCCTTAGTTCGATAGAGTATGATCGTGGATGCGCATTCCCACTGAGGAATTCCATATTAAAACAAACATGTATTCAGTACTTCCTGATTTTTAATGGTTGCCTGATTAATGTTAAGTTTGTGATTTTGACCAAAAAGTTCAACTTTCACAAATATCCTGTACACTAGCAATGAGAACTATTATCGGTAAACTCCATCATGTTTAGGAACATATTTCACTACTGCCTAACAGAGTGTAAAAGTCAAATTAGGACCAGCACCGCCGACTCATCTATGAAAGTTTCAGTTGGCTGAGCTGCACAATTGTTTGGAACTTAATCAGGGTCATGATCTCTATTTATCGCCCCACATAACCTTAGTTTTCTAGAAACTTCCAAAAACATACTAAATATATTAACAATATAGGTAATTATCCAACCAAACGTCACACAATCCTTGATTTTTCCAAATGTTTCTGAGAAATTTTCTTCAGTGTTGATTGGATAAATCGTTTCCAGGGGTTTTGTAAGCTTCTGGAGATTTTGACGAGAGATATTTCTAGACATTCCAACAGGACAATATAATAAGTAAGCACATTTGGATAACCTTGAAAAACTCACAGACCTATCGGTTTGTTGTTACAAAATCTATGGAAATATACTTCAAAATCTCTTGTCAGTCATCTACAATGTAGGACCACAAACATATATGCAACAGTAAAAGTTGCCAAACTTCATTAGCACAACAAGATGAACACCAAATTCATAGAAGCAGTTAACTCAATGGTGTAATATATAAAAAAAGATTTTATGTAAGGATATAGTATAGGAAGAAAGAATTAGTTTGTAGAAAGAAAGGTATAAAGCAATTTTAATCTCACAGTTTAAGGGAAAACAACGAGTGTATAAACCTATGCCAATTTGATCGATTCTGAGCAATGTCACCAAGAGTCTCCAACCATTGGTTACGATAGTCATGTGGACTCCAACCAAGTAGTCTGCATCTACCAACATGGCTCAGACCAGAAGTTAGTGAGTTCAAGGACTGATGCCACGTTTTGGTTTGGTCGCCCTTAACTTTCTTTCAATCATCTCCAACACTAGTCAGCATTGAGTGTCGTCGTAATCGGTGTTCTCTTGTACACGAGTAAACATATCAAAATTGTATATAATTAATTTAGAGTAGTTATGCATAATAGTTGTAGATATACTGATTTCTAAGTAACTTATTTCACAAAACACTTGAGATAATTGTGCTTTTAAAATCAAAACATTTTATTACTCATATTCCATAATATAAATCAACAGTACACCATTATAGATTAATGATTAAAAATATATATTTTGATAAGAATACGGTCAAGCAGTTATCAATCAGACTGATAATAATAACAATACAATTAAAATGATGAAATATGAATTAGGAGAATGGACTAAATATTTGATTTATTAGACAGATATATCAGATCCGAGTAATTAGCGTTGAGTCACATTCTAAGTATAAGGTCTAATGATACTATTCGATGTGTTTAGACTGAAGTAATCGGAACCGGGTTCGAACCATCAAAGGTCGAGCGTCCTGATCATTAAAACACTGCTGTATGTGGAGGATAATTAAACGAAATTGTCACTTTTTTTTCAAATGAACAAAAAGCAATAAATAATACTAAGAAAATATGCGTCTAAACAAAAAGGAAGAATAAAAAGACAATTAGATCTAACATACCTTGATCTGTTAAATTATCATCATTATTCTTAATATCATTATTACTATCATCATTATAATAATTATCATCATCGGAACTATCGCTATTGCCAACAGTATCAGCCCAACTTGCAGGCAAACACATTTGTAACGCAGCAGTTTCTTTAATCAATAAAGAACTTGATTCATTTTTAGGAGAAAATTTATCAATATTGAATTTTGTATGTGAAGATCCATAATCCATTTTTGTTGATGACAGATAGCTTAAACATGCTGGTTGTGCAACAACAGATGAAAAGTTTAAATTATCATGATGATTATGACGACTTAAATCGTCAGATGAAGTTAATGTACGTTGTTGTTCATTCAATTCATTGTCATCTACGACCGTGTAACTACAATTTTAAATCGTAAGTTAGAAAGTTGGTTAGAAATACATCATAAAAAACCTATTTTGAATATTCGTATATTTAAGCCTTAAGGAAAATAGTTAGAGTGTAAAGTGATGATCATCAGTACAAACTGATGTCCTTCAGACGAACGATGAAAGCTCCACGACCAAACCATCCAGCTCAAAGAGCAAAACTCCATTGAAATCATCCACCTGAGCTACAAGTCTTCTCCAGTCAGTCAGTAACAACGTAGAACTTCGTACGTACGTACATCAGTTCCAGTTGCCACACCACCTTAACACAGAGATGCAGTTGTCGATTCAAATCCCGTAGTGGTAGAGGTAGCAAGAGTGTAAGCAGTGATCGGGAAGATTAGGGTTTGGAGATGTTATTTAAAGAGTATAATTCAGTGAAATAAATTTGGAAAGAGGAAAAAGGAACATGAAGAATTCAGAAGATTAGAAATTGGGAGAACACAAAGAGTGGATGCACCTGCGCCATTGCAAACGATTTTGAGCCATGTCATTCAAGGTCTCTAACCGTCGGTTGCTATCATCTCGCGGTCCCCAACCAGGTAGTCTATACCTATCAACATGACTCAGACCACTTGTCAGTGACTTCATGGGCTTGTGCCATGTTTTGGTCTGGCCGCCCCTAGCTTTCTTCCAATCTACTCCTATACCATTGAACATCGCACGTCGAGGCAGTCGGTCGTTGGGCATACGTAACACGTGTCCCAGCCATCTCAACTGATGAAGTTTCACTACTTCATCAATTGATTTGCCATTCTTACCTAGTACCCGTTTCCTAACAACTGTGCTACTTACTCGATGGTCCCATGATATACGAGCAATGTTTCGAAGACACCTATGATCGAATACTAGTAACCTACGAATATCCTCTACTCTTACCGGCCATGTAAGTCTTCTCCACCATTTAAAGAATACTATTACGAAATATCCTATTGACTATGAACAAATTATTAATCAATTCAGAAGTATTAGTAGTAGTATAAGGAGGTGCCCCCGAATGCCCTGGTACGGCCGAGAGTCCGCTCTCCCTCTCGAAATACTCTCACACGGTCACGCGTATATAGCCTCTGCCAGGGAAGTCCTACTCACTGCCTTCTCGTGGCGGGGGTGTTGTTTACCAAAATGAGAGGACGAAAAGCGAATGTCCGGCGCTTTAACCGGATTCCAAACCAATGGTGCACATGGGCTCCAGTATCCTGCGGGAACAAATGGCGAATGAACTAATCGTTGGTCACCGGCTTCCATGGGACTGCATCTCCTTACGATGCTCCACTGCCTTGTGGATCAGACCTTCAGGTCGAAGGCTCGGGGTGTGGCCCCCTAAGAAAACCACCTGCTTCGGTTTGGGCACCCGGGCAGTATCACAGCCCTCACACATATCGAATGAGATTTGTGTGGCACATATGTATTTGGTGCCTCTTTGTACCATTATCTATGTGTTGAAATAAATAAATAATAAGGAGGTACCAGGATAATTTAAGAACTTAAAAGATTTACAGTTTAGGTCTATAATATCAGAATATTGGTGATGTGATCCAATCCCAAGGTTTTTAGATAAATCCGAGGAACTAGACGTGTTTTCAAGAGAGAAAAGTGATACACTGGAGAAATCACAAATAGGCCAAACGATAAATGTCCGTGAATAACAAAGAAGTAGTTCTCATTTCGAGACGTATAACGTGGATGGCTTACAAGTAAATAAACATCTCTCTCAATCTTTTCACTACAAAGCCAGTTGGGCTCCGTAGATAAGGAGACTATGTATCAGTATCAACTCATAGACACCACATGTCACAACAGGTAATTTGTTTGAATTGCTCCTAACAATTTGTTCAAATTAGTGATTTATAATGGTCAATGTACAATTCCAACAAAAAACTGACATTGCTCATGTTGTCTTTCGATAAAATTTGACGTTGTGTGTAATTGACAGATTCATCTGCACAAAGTATATAACAATCTCTATATTCTGGAAAACCCACCAACTGATTTGAATTATATAACTTGAAGCAAGAGATCAGCATAAAACAACAACAGATAAAGATCGATTTTCACCTCAGAACTAAATTTAAATACTCTTGTTAGTAGGATAGAGTTTTGACTAGTCCATGTGTTGATTAGGCTCAAACCTAGATATCCTGATTAGTTCATTTCCAACCTACCAGAACAAGTGAATGAATCAACAAAATGCTAGAAGATTCTTACAGCAATGCCATATAAAATCCATTATTTATTAAAGGATTTTTAGTATGTGTGTAACTGGAAAATATATTGTTCCATCTTGATTCTTATCCTAATTTAGAAATAGTCGAGTCAAGTATTATGATTAGGGAATGCTAGATATGATTAAAATTAGTTTAATTTAACCATGTGATTGATTGATATCTTTCGTATGGGTTGATAGATTGGACTTATGTCGCAATCTAACGATCCAGGCCATCATTATAGAACAAAATACAACAAAAGGCATTCATCTTCGCCTTCATTTCACAAACCAGTCTGTAACACAAAACTATATTCGATATTCTGATAACTGATGTAGAACGTTAAAACATTTAATTACACTGGATTTTGTGTACATTGACATGTCATTATAAAGGTGTATTTCAAAAAGAAAAAAAACATGAGAAAACTACATAGATATACAAAAAAACACAGGGAGTCCTCTTTACCTAGGTTCTTCATTTATTTCGGATGAATCAGAGAAGAGACTACGTCGACTAAGTAAATGACGAGAATTTTTATGAAGTATTGACAAAGAGTTACTATTTGAATTGCAAGGAATAGGACGATCAACTGCACAAGCTGATAATGATATACTATTTGTGAATGGATCCGATTTTTGTTGTGAATTTGATCTATCATCATTGATGATCATTTCATTTGATGTTATTGACAACATAACTGAAGATTTTGCAACGGATAAATTTTTCATTGAATGATTCTGTTCAAAAGCAATTTGCATAACTGACTCAAAGTCAAATGATGGAGGCATAGAGATTGATGTTTGTACTGCAACTAAATCAAAAAAAGAAATATATGTGAGCGGACAGAATCAATGTGAAACAATTAAAACATACTATTACATAATTCGAGATATACGATGCTAAAATTACGTAACACCACTTGTCAAGTAGCAATCATAGAAATTAGATATACTAATCAAAAAGTATTTTATTGATTTAACACTTAGAACCAATTCGATATTGTATGAGGTCTTACGTTAATATTACAATTTATTTGATAAATCAAAGGATTAGGTTTATCTAATGAAGTGATGGATTATTGACTAAGGAATGCGACTTTTGGCCACTAAGTTTTGGGTTCGAATACTGCTTTGCCTATTTCTGTTTAAGCAACCGAATAGTATCAATAGCCTTGATATTTAGTATGGTTCATACCCAATACCTGGTGAACAAATCAGTTTAGTTAATTTTTTTTAATTAAAGGAAGTTTATAACAAATAGAAAAACATTGGATGAAAACATGAATTTGAAATGGTTTGGATTATCTCGTTGTCGAGATGCAGATACATTCAGTTGACGAGTCCAAAATAGGACGAAACACGCGTCCTAGATTACACTGCTAGCCACATTCCGTTTATTCGATATCAACTTGTGCCTTTTAATTTCTACAATTAAAAAAGGGTTATTTCAGAGAATCTATGTGCATCGTAATGTATTTTAGCTTCACATTCACTGTATAAGGCTAAACAGTACTGTCCAACTACTTAGACTAAGACTGATAAAATATATTTATGTTTAATAATCAACGCTGTACACTAATGACTTATAAATGAACTTGGTTATGTACACTACTTTCTTATACACTGAATAAGAGTAAAACTTACAACAGTTTCGATAGTTTAATTACACTGCAGATGAATCTGGCAATGTTGGTTTTCTTCTCACCCCCTACTACAACATAGTTAGTAAACTTTTACATTGTTACTGAATCGTTTTTGTTACCTTAAAATTTGAAAAAAAATCTATCTCTAATAGTGATTAGAATCAGTGAACTCAAGTTCTAAGATACGTTTCGGTAATGTGAGAAACAACTATTTGAGCAAGTTTCTTTTTCATGAATTTTTTAATGAATAGTTAGTTGAATAATGATTATTTAGTGAAGAAAATTACATACGGCAACGTTAATAAGACATCTGTATGAATTCAAAAATATTGAGAATATGGTTGATAATGGAACCGAATACTAGAATGAAAAAAAACACATCGGGACTCAAAGTCTAGAGTAAGATGAAGAGTAAACGACTCTGAGCTATTTTACCCAACGTCTTTAACTACTGATATTCTGAACCCTAATGAGGTAGTCTGTATAAAAAAAAGCTCAGACCAATAGGCGATCACTTCATGGACTGATTCTACATGTTTATTTGACCGACTATAGCTTTTTTTAAACATTTTACACTAACAAACATCGTCCATCGAGGCAGGCGGTGGTTAGATATACGTAACATATGTCCCAACTAATTCAATTGATGAAGATTCACTACTCTGTCAACTGATTTACCACCTTTGACTAGTACATTATGAATAAAACCCCAGCATAACTCATTTGGTCGTTCCACAATACACGAGCAATAGCTTCGAAAACATCTATGATGGGAAAAACCTGCAGCCTACACACGCCTTCTGCTGTTTCTTGTTATCCGAAAATACACAACTAATATGTTATTAGACCGTAAAGAAAATGTAAAAAAGACGCAACAATACAACACCTTTCTTCCCACTTACCTTCGCACATAGAACTTGAAGTATTTCCTAGAATATAGGAATTCTTTTTCTTTTTACCTAAAGGAGTAGCTAAATAAACGAGAAAAGCACAAAGTTGATAATATCATATTATACAATCGTTAAAGGTAATACATAGTAGTATAAACCAATTGGTCATTGCTAGCAGGATAAAGTCTTGACTATTACATATTTTGATTAGGCTTAAATCAAAATATGTTGATCGGTTCATTTCCATCCAATCAGTGCCAGCGAAGAAATCTTATGTAAATAATTTGTTGCGAGTTTTATTAGAATAGACATTGTTTTGCTCGAAATTTATATTCATAAATGATTGATCACTGAGTAATAACCAATTTCAATTACCTACCTTTTTACAGTTGATTGAATCATATCAATCAAGTTACAACGTAGTTCCTAGTCTGTGTGATACCACATCGTGTACACTATGATGAGATTTTAGGTGGTTGATAGTAGCCGACAGAAAACCCTGAACCTACGTTTTTTACTATTTGGAACTTGTCGGAAAAGCATACCCGTAGTCTAAAACGAACACAAAATTTCTAACTGCGATGCTAAGTGACGCAGATTTGAATAAAACAAAGAGAATCAATTCCCTTAAAATCGCAGGTACACCTTACTAAAGTGTACCAACCAGCATGAAACCTAAGTTAAACAAAATTTATTTATTATTATTATTTTAACACAGATATTGGTACAAGGAGGCACCAAATACATATGCGCCACACAAATCTCATTTGATATGCGTAAGGGCTTTGATACTGTCTACTGTCCGGGTGCCAAAACCGAAGCAGGTGGTTTTCTTAGGGGGCCACACCCGGAGCCATCGACCTAAAGGTCTGATACACAAGGCATTGGAGCAACGTAAGGAGATGCAGTCCCATGGCAACCGGTGACCAACGATTGGTTCATACGCCATTTGTTCCTTCAGGATACTGGAGCCCATGTGCACCATTGGTTTGGAATCAGGGTTTTCCAACTCTCATAGTTGAATTCTCCATGTCCACCAACCTGGTTAAAGCGCCGGACATTTACTTTTTTTCCTCTCAATTTCGTGAACAACATCCCCGCCACGAAAAGGCAATGAGTAGAACTTCCCTGGCAGAGGCAATATACGCGTTGCCATGTGAGAGCATTTGGAGAGGGGGAGCGGACTCTCACTACTCTCGGCCGTACCAGGGCGTGTGGGGGCAAACAAAATTTCCTACACACTTAGTCGATACGAGGTATCAAGTTGATGTAAATGTACTATTCAAAGTTAACTATTGAATATCTTCCACTTATGTATTTAGATGTCACCTCCTACACATAATGAAAACTATGAGAATTGAATAGGATAAATATGACTTTTGCTTCCAACATAGATTTGTATAATCACTTGTTGTGCCTTTACAAATAATGAATTAATTACAAACTTGCTTATTTCGTTTTTATTAACAAGTAATTATTTCTAAGAAATTAACGAATTCAAATTTACACTTAAATTATTTACTTATTGTTACTCTGATATGACCAACTATTTCTATACTTACAATTCAATGTTTTTGTTTCTTACATAATCACTAAACAATAACTAACTGATCCTTAAATGTAAACATACATTTACGTTTTATTCTGCATCTTCATTCTTATGTAATAATTGACTGATTACCCTTTTTTTTTAATTTCTTTCTGTCTTAACATAATGTCTTATTATGATGTTAATTTACTTAACACCATTTAAATGTTAACGATTTTCACATTAAAATGTCAAACTATGTAGTATTACTAGGTTATAGTGATGAGAACTCTATTGGAATAAAAAAGGTTCTGTGTTCAGATTATATTATAAATTTTCTTAACACCGGTGTTACACATTGAATCAATTAAGTGATTAGTTTAATCAACAGAATGAGAATTTGTTTATGGTTGAAATCTCGGATTGATCGTGGTTAGACAATCATTGTAAATCAGGAAGCACCGGACAACTGTCCCATCTTAGCATCGGACTCTTCAGTGGCAATGAATTTATATATATATATATATATATATATATATATATATATATATATATATATATATATATATATATATATGCTTGGAATGATAAGTATATAGGAAGAGCTGAGAGAAGAGTTTGTATTAGATTTCCTGAACATGATCATAAAAATCTACATTCGAAAAGCGGTAAAGTGTAGTCATCAGGGGCCGATCGAATGAATAGTACAACTCTCGAGTTCAAAACCATCGATATTAATTTCATTAACTGTATTATGCTAAATCTTTATTTATAATGATAATTCTGTAGGTAATTTTAGGCTGCTTTGACAGCTGATTGATTAAATATCCTGCTACTATGCTTAGTAGGGTTTCAGAACTTTCCAGAAGTCTGAGGTCATCTGAAATGCTATAAATACCTTCGATCTTCTGTACACAAACTGAGCTTGGAGTAAAGTGTTTTTTTTCACATTTCGCGCCGTTTCTTTCGTGTTCAAGTTGTCGTGTAGAGTTAGCCTGAGGTTATTAGAAGAGCTTAGGAAACATCATAAAACTCAGTTAGTTAGTTATATCCAACATAGAACCTAACAAATATATGCGTCAATTCAATTTGTCCCACAACATTAGCACCGCGAGATAAAATTATCAAGATAAATCCAAGAGTAGTACAAGTGGTAACACAATTAATAGTAGTAGGAAAGATCAAGTGTAAAAAAAGTTCAGGATTCATGAGCTAGACAAAGAGTGAACGTACCTACATCTGAAATTCAATAATCTATACGACATTACTATGAATAAGTTTAATTCATAAGCACCAGTTATAAACATTTTGATTGTTTAACTCATTACAGAATTGAGTATAATCGATATCTTCCTAATGTATTGAATAAATCACACTAAAAGCTATCAACGCCTGTAAGATTATGAAATCATCATCAATGAAAAGAAACTTTTCGGGTAAACCTTATCATTCATGTATGATCACATACACACGCGCGCACTGAGCAACATTTGATTTCTAGTAAAGAGTATTAAGTGGTTCACGTATGGAAATATAAAGGTTTAATAATAATGCTATACATATATGTATTGTGCGACAATAGGTGAAGTAGAATAATAGTAGAAATTATATTTATTTCTATTTACCTGTAGGTAGAAGAGATGAAGTCCTTGGGAGACAACTAGAGTGAACTAGAAACCATTTAAGAAAAAAGTGAGTAAATAAAAATTAATGCTTAAGCGAAATCTTAAAATGGTTTTCAAAGTTTAGAGAAAATAGGATGGAGATAAACACAGATCGAATAGAAGAAAATACATACTACATAATTAAATCAGAATTTAACATACCTTAGTATGGTACGTAACTATTTTTTTATTAATGATTGGTAGTCATTTCAGAAACTAAACATCAGGCGTATTATCATCACAGAATACTTCACTAAAATATAGAATCCTTACTTTCCATGTCCAAAACTGTGTATATCACAAACTGAATGACTTAATCCCCCTACGAGTAATGCACTTTATTAGTGAACCCGAAACTCTTTAATGAAGCTAGAACTACTAAACGAAAGATAGGGATTTTGGTGATTAAACCTACCATTGTGTAAATTACTCCTCAAGACCGTGGGGACTATAATGTATATATATAAACTAGTGGTTAAGTAACTGACGTGAAATGGCTGTCCGTCGCACTTTTATATGATATTAGTCAAACTGATTTCTTGCGGTCATAAAGAAACAACTTCTATTCTTTTTTTTTAAACTGTGAAGATCAGTTTGACGGGATAAACTTTAAATGCTAGATTGGATACTATATCAGATAATCTCACTGTTGAAACTGGACTGCCATAATCTACGACCTCAAGAGTGAATTCAACACGAGTAACTGGTCTTCCTTAGTCTCAAGGTAACTATGACTTTTTTTAACCTGATTAAGTCGAAGAAAGGGTTTATGTCGATACTTTATTTAGGCTGTTGGTAAGAAGGCGATAATTTTGAAGTAGCTATAGACCAGTTGAACTATCACTCTAATTATTTTACACATCTTTCCAATAGTCTGGCTATTTTTACAGCTTGTTCACCAAGTTGAGAAGCTGAAAGTTCCACCTAAATGTCTTTTAGCTTTAGTCAACATATCTACTAGCTTACCCACTAAAATTATATCTGAGCGTTTAACTTCTTGAAAATAGTCTAAAAACCCATATAATTTATATTTCGTTGCTTTTGAACAAAATTTATTCAAGCAAAATTTACTTATGTATAAAAATGACTTTTAAATGTCGGCAATCATATTTATCGTGGTAATAAATAATGAATTTCACAATTTTAGATAACAATAAGTATTTTTATATAGGACTTACATTTAGTTGGTGAGTCAAATACAACTGTGTCAGGGCTAGGTGCAATAAGATGATTTTTAAAAAAGCTATGAATTCTATTCTGAATCTCATCATCACACTGAAATTTTATAGAAAGAAAAGAACAATAGTGAAAATATTACTTTCATTAGAATATTTAGAAGTTAATGGACAAAAACTATGTAGCATTCATATCATTAAGTTGATGGGTGGTGGTGGAGGCAGAGACAAATATGACCAAAGTATAAGTTATCCAATCACAACATAGCAAGTTGGAAATTAGATTTGTTTATTGATGTATATATGGTTGTCAAAACTGGTCAATCATACAAGTATGGAAAGTAGGTGCAAGGTGATCAGTTACAATAGTTTGGATGTAATTATTAGTTTTTAATGAAGGAAACTTATTTTAAATCAGATAAGATGAGCCTTGTGACAGTTTTGAATAAACACAAATAAAATTAGGTTTAATGCTGTAGAATAGCATGCAAATTAACGGAGCGACAATTGTATAAACGCAAATTCAACACAACAATTCAGAAGATAATTTTTTTTAGTTCGTAGAAATAACAAATACTTTTGTGACACATTATGCACATAGTTGTATGCATTTTAAGGTCCGTATAATGATTATCTTTTCGTAGTTAAAGAACAGTCTTCTGAAAGTCTTCTTTTTTCTTCAGTATAAGATATTATATGCAAAATATTTTTTAGAATTACAACATGAACTGGAGACAGAACGGGAAACAAGTATTATATGGACAGAAATCTAGTTTGTAATGCTATAATACGAAGTAAAATCCTACTAAATTGAATAGTAATCTTTATCATTTTTAGACCACTTGTAATTACTTTAGTGCAGAAGCAGTACTCCAATAAAAGAATACTTTTCAATTTTATTACACAAGTAAACAATGAAGTGTATTGAAATTTGCCTATAAAATGTGTAATTATAGACTCAGTTTTCTATTGAGTAACAATTGAATCATTGAATTTATGGTTAAAAGAAGTGTTACTTTACAATCTGTTATCAAAACATTTTACTTATATCTTCAAGTCCCTTGATCGACAATTGAAGCTAAATACGATAACATATCTGAAACATTTTTATGGTACAACAGTTTCAAATAATTTACTGAATACAATGAAGACAGTGAGAATTTGACTGGTGAAAAATATAAGTGTATTGTGCTAGGCTGCTCAATACATAAAACACAAAATAAAATATAGGATACTAGGTATAAACTGATTAAAAATATATAAACGCACAACTGGTGATTTTAACTTAGGTAACAGAGTACACTCTATATGTTTTCAGAAATTGTGGTCTTGAGTGCTGTTAGGAGTATGAGGGCGGTAATCGATTCCCGATTGTCCACACCGTGAAAGGGTTCTTCTAGAGGTACATGAAAAGGAAATTGGGTTAGAGTTGATCTTAGTGACCTGAGAGCGTGGCCGCAGTTCTCAAGTGACAACTGCTTGAGGCCGGTCACACGCGATCTTTTTGTGGAAAACTTTTATGTTAGCTCCGCACATGTTGAAACCTTACCGTCAGAGACGGATATTTGTGGGATATGCCCTGGTACGGCCGAGAGTAGTGAGAGTCAGTTCTCTCTCGAAATGCTCTCACATGGCCACGCGTAAATTGCCTCTGCCAGGGAATTTCTACTAACTGAATTCTCGCGGCGGGGATGTTTTTCACAAAATCGAGAGGACGAAAAGTAAATATCTGGTGCTTTAACCAGGTTGGTGGACATGGAGAGTCCAACTATGAGAGTTGGAAAACCCTGATTCCAAACCAATGGTGCACATGGGCTCCAGTATCCTGAAGGAACAAATGGCGTATGATCCAATCGTTGGTCACCGGTTGCCATGGGACTGCATCTCCTTACGTTGCTCCAATGCCTTGTGTATCAGATCTTTAGGTCGATGACTCCGGGTGTGGCCCCCTAAGAAAACCACCTGCTTCGGTTTTGGCACCCGGACAGTAGACAGTATCAAAGCCCTTACACATATCAAATGAGATTTGTGTGTTTGGTGCCTCCTTGTACCAATATTTATGTGTTCAAATAAATAAATATATAATCCGTGGGATAAGGTGAGGTGTGCATTTCTAGGGTAAACTTTTCTAACCCCACTCTTCCTTTGTAGGAAGGGAGCATAGCTGCTAAGCAGATTGTCTGAAGAAAACACCTTTCTGTCGTCACATCTCTGTACAGTCAACAGTACGACTTTGCCATTGGACCTTGCGCTTGTTGCTTTTGGTCTTACTGTCCTTCAGCCAATTTACATGGCGCGGTAGGACCTTGAGGAACGATTGTTCCAGCCAGTGTATCCCGACTAGTTCATCAGGGTAGGCAAGCCCGACCACCACGTTAAGTTAGCAGCAACGGTCGAGATGTGGTTTCAGTGCGAATACTTCATGATTCATTATCAATTAAAAAACAGTTCATGACTCAACGATTTCTGAAGTGATTAATTTCAGTGATAAAGAGGTAGTTTCATTTTGGTTCATTTATTTTATTTATTTATTTTAACACATAAATATTGGTACAAGAGAGCGCCAATATATATGCGCCACACAAAACAATGTAACTTCTAAGAGATAGAAAAAAAAAAAAACCAAGGAGCACAAAAGAGAACGATAACGAAGAGATTTAGTGTGGTCGTAACAATGGAACGGAAAAGTACAATCAGAAGAAATCTTTCAAGTAAGGGAGACACAACCACTTTTTATGAAGAAAGTAAAAGAAGGTTACAGCAGGATCGCCACTGGCTTCTATTCTGAGCCATATCTGATAACGTCTCTAGCCACTGTGTAGCACCATCTCTCAGACCCCAACCAGGGAGTCGTGAAGGACCAACACAAGCCAGTCCTTTGCAGCTTTCTTTCATACCACGACACCATGTCATGCACTGACCACCTCTCCGCTTTTCCCAACCAGTCCAAGAGTCGGCAAATAATGCACGACGTGGAATTCTCTGGGACGACATTCGTAGAACATGTCCAAGCCACCGAAGTCGGTGTTTCAAGATGGTGACACCAATTGAATTATCATCTCTGTGCCCAAACACATGATGCCGAACCTCTGCATTACTGACATGGTGTTGCCACTGAATATCAGCAATCCTTCGGAGACAGCGATGATCGAACACAGAGAGTCGTCTAACGTCCTCAACTCGGAGAGGCCAGGTTTCACAAGCATAGAGCAAAACTGCTCTCACCGACGCGTTGTAGATCCGACCTTTTACAGCCAGACTAACATCACGAAGGCGCCAAAGATGGCCCAGATTGGCATAAGCCACTCTGGCTTTCACTATACGTGCATTGATCTCATCACTCACACCCCCACCAGCACTTATGCAACTACCCAGATACACGAACTTCTCGACTACTTCTATCTGCTCACCATCCAGGGTGAGTACAGGATTGGAATCCTGCCAGTCTTGTAGAAGTACTTTGCACTTCGAAGGTGCAAAACACATACCATACCTACGGACACTGATTGCCAACTGATTAAGTGCGGATTGCATGCCTTGGGCATTATCGCACAGTAAGACAATATCGTCCGCATACTCAAGGTCGAGAAGTCTTTCTCCAGGTAACAGATCCACACCACCATTACTTACATTCATCAGAGCTGTTTCCAGAATGTCATCGATGGCAAAGTTGAAGAGGAATGGTGAGATTGGGTAACCCTGCCTAACCCCACTACTCGAATGGAACAATGGAGAGAGGTGGTTGTATGCCCTCACTCTGCCTGAGGTGTTTTTATATAGGGCTTTTAGGATGTTAATAAACTTCTCAGGCACACCCTTCTTCAATAGACAATCCCAGAGAACAGTCCCGTCCAATGAATCGAAGGCAGCCCTGATGTCAAGAAACACTACGATTGTTGGCCTTTGATAAGTATGGCGATGTTCTAACATTTGGCGGAGGGTGAAGATATGATCAATACATCCTCGACCAGAACGAAACCCAGCCTGCTCCTCGCGAGTCAATCTTTCTCGGGTTTTGAACAACCTACGAAGTATGACGGAAGCCAATAGCTTGGACGCAATCGGAAGTAGACTTATCCCCCGATAGTTGTTGAAGGAACGACGTGAACCCTTTTTAAAGATAGGGACAACTATCGACTCATTCCATGACGTTGGTACACTCTCTAGTTCCCAAACCTTTGTAAACAACGTCGTCAATTCCTTAGTCAAAAAGTCACCACCATCTTTAAAAAGAGCCTGAGGTAAGTCATCTGGGCCAGGTGATTTGTAACGCTTCAAGAGTTGGAGTTCCTTGCGGACTTCCTCCTCGTTTGGTGGATCAGTCGTCACCGGCCATGGAGGGCAGGACAGCCTGACCGATGTTGCCGGAGCAGCAGGCCAGTTGAACTGCCCTTCGAAAAATTCTGCCCATCGTCCAAGACGTCGATGGATGTTAGTGATTGGCATCCCATCATCCTCGCAGATTGTTTCACTCACACCAGACTTCTTGCTGCCAGTGGCTCGGATGAGCTGGAAGAGCTTCCGGTAGTTACCAGATGCAGCTGCTGCTTCCAGCTCATTAGCACGCTCCGACCACCAGGCTTCTCGGTCCTTGCGCAAGCTTTGCCCAATTTCCCTACGTAACATCCTTCGTTTATGGTCTAACTCACGGTCACCCGGAGTAGACCGACGGGCTTCAATGAGTTGTAAGGAACCAGAAGAAACCCAGTGCTTAAAAGCGGGACGTTTCGCAAACCCACAACTGACTGTTCCCGCCATTTTCATGGCGTCAAGCAATTGCAACCAATGCTCATCTATACTTTTCGGTGGAGTGGTAGCTAGCCTAGAGGCTAACTCGGTTCGATACTTATTTGCAACAGAAGTTGCAACCAGCTTGTTAACATCAATCCGTTGGTGGCGGTCACTTCGTTGTCCACTGAAAAGTAAGGCAAGATTGGCGCAGACCAAGGCATGGTCAGAGTCCAGATAGGTACTCCAAAAGGAGCGGCAGTCTTTTACACAACCACGCCAGCGGAAGCTGATCGCGATGTGATCAATCTGAGTCCAGGCTTGGGATGCAGAGGGAGGACGCCAGGTGGCACATCGGCGATGACTGTGCCGAAAGTTAGTGCTAGCCAGAAACAGGTTGTGGTCTGTGCACAGTTGCAGTAGACGGTCCCCGTTATCTGACCTGCGACCAACGAGTCCCCATCGGCCACCTAAACGACTCTCTTCTGTACCTAGACGCCCGACCTGAGCATTCAAGTCTCCGGCTAGTACTACAATATCTGTCGAACGCACTTTCTGGAGAAGAACAGATAACTGGTGGTAAAACTCATCCTTGATTGCATCCGGGCTGCAATCTGTCGGGGCATAGGCGGAGATGACGAAAAGACATCGTTTCTCACGCCGATTTCTTCTCACTTTGATGGAACTTTCTAATCTAACAGCGCATAGCCGACTGTTAATGGGGATCCAATCAACTAGTGCTGCCTCAGCTCTAGCGCTTAGTGCGACACCAACGCCAGCAAGACCAGACGAAGATGCCACAGGGTCCCCGGATAAGCGCACGTGAAACAAGCTTTTCGAAGCGACAGATGGAGAGCGAATTTGTAGTACTTCGCCAGAGTCTTGAATACGGGTCTCGGATAGACAACAAACATCAATATTAAGACTTTCCAAAGACATAGCCAGCCCTATCTGTTGTCCGACCTGCACTAGTGTGCGAACGTTGAAGGCAGCCAGTTTGAATGGTGCACGTGGTTTCAGAAAAACTGCTTCAGTTCTCGTAATCGGTGGTAACATACAATTTTCAACCGGACAGTGACTCGAGAACGTTTAGATACAGTCGAATTTCCACCAAAGACGAGCCGCTGTATAAGTATAAAAGAGGGAGAACAATGTGGAAAATAATAATAATAATAATAATAATAATAATAATAATAATAATAATAATGACAATAATGGTACTAATAATAATAATAATAATAATAATAATAATAATAATAATGGTAATAATAATAGTATTAATAATGACAATAATAGTAATAATTATTGGAATCGATTGATTATATATCGGAGCGAGAAAATTCGTTGCCATAGTCATAGAGTTCATCGTTTGTGTGTGGGCTGTGATACTGCCCGGGTGCCCAAACCGAAGCAGGTGGTTGTCTTAGGGGGCCACACCCCGAGCCTTTGACCAAATGGTCTAACCCACAAGGCAGTGGAGCATCGTAAGGAGATGCAATCCCATGGTAGCCGGTGACCAACGATTGGTTCATACGCCATTTGTTCCCGCAGGATACTGGAGCCCATGTGCACCATTGGTTTGTAATAATAGCTCAATTTGTGTTCTCTCAAGTACTCTTGGAATTCTTACTTCTACCATAAATTTCCCCCTTATAACACTACTAAAGTTGTTTTAAGTCACTCATCAGGCACAAATTCGTGTACTCGGCTTCGAATCACACCTTAAGTGTGAGGGCTAGTGTGACTACGAGGTTGTCCAGGCGCAAGTAAGTAGTTGAGATTAGAAACTGAGCCACTATTTCGCTTTATTCTTAACCCCATGCAGGACTGCCAACTAAAGCTTCGATGCTAGGCCCACCGTTTTTACAGTGAAACACAGTCTAAGAGTAAAATTTTGATGACAACTTACTGACATGATAATTCATGATGCTAAGAAACAATCGACCAGTCATTTAAGATATATGATACATGGTTAAAGTCCTTGCAAAATAATAAACAAGTGAATACTACTAGGTAAACTTATACCTTTAATAACCTAACGTACCTGAGTATCCAGTTTCTCTTGAAGTTTCAATTGTAGTATTGGATTTTCGTCTATATCAGCAGGGAACAATTCTCCCTGAAGGTCAGGAGATAAAATAAAAGGTGTCTTGATTCTATTGGGAGTTGTTTTCCTTGAACCACTTTTGCTAATCGGACTGGGATTGTAGGCAAATATTCCTGGGCTGAAGTTCGCTTGTTCAACACGACTGAGAAATTCTTTATGGAATGGATTGAAAATCAAACCCCCAGATGGAGTGGTTATTCCGAATTCTTCCCCATATGGGCATATTTTTACTGGAGTACCGGCTCCAGGATTTTCCATTTACCTATAAAACAAACAGAAAACATTTTAATTTAACGTAAATTTATGACGCAACATTAAATGTCACATATACAGGCGTAAAACTCACGGAAAGATAGACTATTCAATAGTTAGAATCCAGTATTTCTGACTGCAAAGTTGAAAAAGTGGCTTTAAATTGTCACCGAATTTTTATATAGGAAAAGATTATTTTTGAAAGTTACACGTAATACGTTGAGACCAAACATATATACATAAGGAATGACACTTCTGTGAACTAACTGATACCACACAATCAGCAACCTAAAAATAAAGATCCGAAAACTCATTTTTAAGACATTATATAATGACAGTTAGCAACCAATTAAAAACCTATCTCAACCGAATGAAAGATGAAGATTATTTTGTGTGCATATCAATTTTACACATTACACTCCTCAAAAACACGAAAAAATATATTAAAAGTCAGTAGGCACAAAGAAGACTTATAAGTCAAGAAAACTTTATTTTGTTACATACGAGTACAAAACTCAATGATCACATTTATGAATGAAACTGATTAGTCTAAACTCAGGATAGATTAGAGTTTTTCCGAATCTACAGTAAACTATTCTACGCGAATAGTGAGCATAACAGAAGCCAACCACCACTGTTAACTTACGTGAAAGCCATGGTGAATGGCTTATTTACCTCGTTTAACACCGTTTTTAGCCACGATATTCGGGAATTATATAATTATTGACAATGCTATTTAAGCAAACGAGTGCTGCAACGATAACAAATGAATTATCGATGAGCAGGCAGGTATTTATTCAACTTCAGGTGTAACCAAATGTCGTATTAAATTGAAATGTATGTGAACTCTAAGAACCCTGAATGAAAACCGATTAATTCACAAAATAGAGTTTACTATTCCATTGACCTATTCACTACGGGACATATGCGCTGTGATGCAACAGTCTGGTGGATGTATCATTAATATCTAACATTATCGAGACTTATTCATTTGTAAGACAAATTTCGGTAAGAATACTAAAAGAATTGATTAAATTATGAAAAAGGGAAAGTCGTACATTTAACAATTAAATAAATTAGTATAGTTGTCAGTACAAGATACTATTCATCTAAAAATACAGCCAGTGGAAACTTAGATCGTTAGAAACAATAGAATCAGAATGAGATTCTATTCTGAGCCGTATTTGATAATTTCTCGACCCGCTGAGTAGCATGATTTTTAGGACTTGAATAATGACGCTATGATGCATGACAGATATCGGTTTTATACACCTATCTTGTTTCACGGATTCACTTCATAAAACCTTTTGACTTTTCCTGCTATCCGTGTCGGGAAATAATGAGCGATGTGAAAGCCATTGAAATGAAATTTGTAAATCATGACCAAGCCAGCTAATAGGCTAATTGACTTTAGTACTCTCAGCATTTGTTCCGACCCGTATTGGGAAACCCTCGGAGATGGCTACCAAGAACCCTCGATTTAGAAGAGTCAGACCTCCCAAGTACGAAATAGAACTGCTCTCATCGACGTGTTGTACAACTGACGATGTACAGTCATAATAAACCTACGACTGTCTTCAAATCCCACAGTAGGGTAGATCCTGTTCTCCTTAATCAGAGGTTATCATGTCTGCGAGTATGTAATTTTTCTAGGGACGTTTCATTTCCTGCTTTTAAGTGACATGGGTTTCTGTGAAAATGAGGTGAAAGTGGACGTCAGAAGCATGAGCCGGATTAACAGAAACGGAACATCCGTCTAAGGAAGTTGGGGGAACCCTAACTCCAAACCAATGGTGTAAGTAGGGCCTTCGATATCGAGGACATGAATAATCTACATGAACCAATTTACACCAGGAAACATTAATCGACAACCAGATTTCCATCTAAATATTTGAGTAACTCCTTGTGAGTTATTTTTGGAATACTGACAACTATGATACAGTATAGTAGTTTCTAGGTTTATATTTTGACCCTGTTTCAAAGGTACGACTCACTAATGTGTTTTCCCAGTTTCTGGATAATCCACTTTGGGTTAGAGACAGATCAAAGTAAAAACTTAAGGGATTTGCAATAAAACAAGAGAGTACCTTTAGTAATCTAGAATCAGTTCATGGCGTCCCACAGGTTTTTTTACATCAAGCTTATTTAACAGATCAAAGGTTACGAGTTTATTAATTGTGGGGATTTTTTAACATTATAAACAGTGTTCACGTATTTTGAATAACCGAGCTTTGTCTTAGACATCTCTAACTGGCGATGTCATAACACCACGTTTATATGATGCTGGGGTACAGACCTACTCTTTGTCCTTAGGCTCATAAGAAGATATAAGTGTCTAGGGCATTGTACAGAATCTTTAGCACAATTTTATCTACACTTCCTTCTAGACTTATATACGGTCAAGAAACAAATATTTCTGTCCTTTTATACTAATACATAGTTTCATCAAAGCCTAATAACAATAATCAGTCAGTCAGCTACAACGTAGGACCAGGCACATATATGCATCGGTCCAAGTTGCTATACCTCATTAACACAACAAGATGGACACCGGATTCATAAAAGTAGTTAATTCAGAGGTGGTAATATATAAAAGAAAGATTGCAATAAAGATATAATACAGGAAGAAAGATATGAGGCGATTTTAATCTCTTGGTTTAAGGGAAGACAGAGAGTGTATACACCGACGCCATTGTGATCGATTCTGAGACATGTCACCAAGAGTTTCCAACCATTGGTTACGATAGTCGTGTGGACCCCAACCAAGTAGTCTGCATCTACCAACATGGCTCAGACCAGAAGTTAGTGACTTCAAGGACTGATGCCACGTTTCGGTTTGTTCGCCCCTAACTTTCTTCCAATCATCTCCAACACTAGTCAGCATTGCACGTCGTGGTAAACGGTGTTTAGGCATACGTAGCACATATTGTAGTTTTCCCACACATTTTTTTGCAGAGAGGGGTACGAAGCTCATTACTGAACCATGATGAAAAGTCTCTTGGTTTTCTTTAAATCCTTGGAGGTACATAGTGATGTAACCCTTCTAGGGTCAATGCCAGTCCCGACGGCAGATAAACGAGGAAGGTTGGGTGAGGGGTCAGAAATGCCATCCATAGAAACATAACCTTGCTAAATAAATGCTAACCAAAAAACTCACTTGAACCATTTAAACTCTGACCTAGGAGTTGAAGGAACTACATTCAGAAAAATTATGACACTTCATGGTGAAAGCCAAGATTCCCCAAAAGTCACAAGGGCGACCAGAGCAACAATATAGGTACATGGAATGTCCGGACAATGTGAGAGACAAGGAGGACTAGGCGAGTTGCTACAGAAATGAGGAGAAACAACTTGGAAATTCTCGAAATAAGTGAAACCTATCGAACTTAAGCAGGATAGAAAAGATAAGCTTTGAAAGAGATGCTGTTGTACTCGGGTTATGAACGAAATGCTTTGTACGTAATTCTCTTTAAAGAAACACAAAAAGCGCTTATAGGATGTGAATCTCATCGATCCAGAATCACTAAACCATCCTTTAAAAAAAGGGAGGATTACAATGAAGGTTGTTCAGAGCTATGCCTACACCGTACATTGAAACAACCCAAACAGACATTACCACAGCTTTTAACCCATCAACAATCGAACAGATCGGCATGACCACCAGACAAATCAAGAGCGAGAAAGCAGCAAGACCAGAAAACATATCAACTGAAGCACATAAGTCAGATATAGAAGCAACTGCAAAGATGTTCCACGCACTATTCAAAAACATTTAAGAGGAAGAATAAGAAGGGACATACTGGGATGGATGCCTCATGATCATACCCAAGGAAGACCTCAGCAAGTGTGAGAACTACAGAGGCATCACACTACCATAAATACCAGGAAGTTTTCAATAAAGTATTATTGAACGGAATAAAAAACTCAGTGGACGTTCAATTTCAAGATCAACAAGACGAATTCATACGACGGATTACACTGAAAAATCGTGCATGTAGGACAGCTGTATTCCAAGTGAAGACCGGAGTCAGAAATATCTGCTCGCTATATCCCTTTCTTTTACTTTTGGTGATTGACTTTATTATGAAGATCAGGGAAAACATGAAATGCAATGAACAAACTGCATGCATCTGGACGATTCGGCCTTCGCTATTGACTTGGTTGTTCTATCTCATACACATCAACAAATGCAGGTGAAGACAGCCAATCTCTTCAGTAGTAGGCCTCAACATACACAAGGGAAAAAGCAAGATCATAAAATACAACACGGAAAGCATTAACCTAATCACACTTGATGGGGAAGCTTAGGAAGAGGTGGAAAGTTTTACGTACCCAAGCAGCATCAACGATATACAAGGGAAATCAGATGCGTATGTGAAAGCTAGGATTGACAAAGCAAGGGTAGCATTCCTACGACAGAAGAACATCTGGAACTCAAGACAACTGTTAGCCAACATCAAAGTTACAATCTTCAAAACAAACATCAGGACAGTTCTACTGTACTGAGCCGAAACGTGGAAAACTACTGCAACCATCATCAAAAATATACTGGTATTTACAAACGAATGTCCACGCAAGATACTCAATGTCCGGTGACTGCATAGCATCAGCAACAACCTACTTTGTCAAAGAACCACCTAGCTGAAGATACCCGATGAGTAGGACATGCATTGCGTAAATCTACGGCAGGTGCATTAAAGTCCCCTAAGATCAAACATCGACTGATAACAGATCAAGTGTTGAGTGACTGGCAACGCATCAATTACCCCATATTTGGGGCCACAATAAACTAAACTAAGTAGCAGCTCTTGTTCCCTACATTTCAAGCGACAACTAAGTCGTACATTTCACTCTCATGAGATATGGTATCAATAACAGTAAAGGAAACAGTATCCAACAAATAAGGTTGATCATGCTTTACACTTGCGGGTTTGGCCAACTTTTAGTTACATGGAGTTTTCAGAATTAAGTTACTTATCGTATACAGATTTGAACAGCAACGTTCCAGTCACGGCTAATACATCCAGCTTAAAAGGGTCCATTTGTACACTTACCTACGATCGCTTGTCAAGCGGACCCAAAAACTAATTTAATAGCAATGTGCTGCTCAGAAAGTGATTTTGAAGCGTTATCACTCAAAATTCAAAAATCTGAGATTAATTTTTCTCCAGCTTCTAATTTCAGCATCGTATTGTTCAGCACCTCGTCTTTTCACATGGCCAGCGAGATACCAGTCTTTTAGAACCAGAAACCCTGATTTTTTGGCTTATAACCATTACGCAGGGAAGAAACCGTTAAAGTGAGTGCAAACAATACAGATACAAAGGCTAGCAAATGAGGCATTATTTCCTTTAACTTGTCTGTAATCAACTCATTTGGAGTGAAAAGATAGACCTTATACGCTACGGACGAAAAATTGAAAGTTTTACTCGATTGTGAACAATAGTTTTCTTTTCCTTTTGAAATACCACTGAAAGTAGTGCAATAATATCTACTTAGTACGTTAGATTACTAGGAATATTTCATGGAATGCACATCCCTTCAAGACTCAGTACAACGGTCAAACCCCCATATACATTTCTAGTTTGAGAAGTCCCTTTTCCCTGGTTTTTATTTCAGTTCCGCGATACTGGGACAACATATAGTTCCCGAATTAGCTGAGAGAAACAACTACAATTATCAAGACCAGCAAACAAGTAAAAAGCCTTGAACTAAAGCTTATCAGATGATTCCTGCACTTATGAGGGTTTCATCATCAGAACAATTCGGTAGACATTTGCCACCTCCCACTTCCACTATAAAATCTTAATGTGCGCTTTACCACAAATCCTAAATACGCGCAACCCTTGATAAACAAAGTTTCTGATTCGACATAACAAATACTACGGCATTGCTTCAAAAATTGGTAACACTGACAGGACTGTATTGTTGAGTAAGAAACCTCATTATCGTAAAAATATAATAAATGAGATCAGTTCCTGAATTGTTTAACCCACCCTTTTATCCATCTCTCTGCAAGTTTCACGAAACTCACATCTTTTCAAGGAAATACAATGCAATCATACACTGAGCTTGAAGCTGTGAACAGGTATGGATTCTAAACAGATTCAAAAAACCTTAGAAGTCATTTTTACTACTTTTATTGAACTATCAAGGGTCTACCAAGTGCTATTCTAGGGTAAGGAGAACTTCTCACGAGGGACACCATTTACGAATAGCAGCTATTCCTGGTTATATAGACTATTTCGTGACTAATATCAAACTAATTATCTATATTTGCGGCTTTCTTAACCCCTTATCAAACTCCTGATGTGTCAACAACGTTCCGACAGATATCTGGGCGTCTATCGAAATGTTGTAGCTCAAAGCGAATAGTACATGATCAAGACAACTGTACGAAGCTTTCTTATGGTCGGCCAGCAGTGAAAAATGTCCGAGTTCATTTCTCTTTGGGTAGGATTGAGATGGTCAACTAATTATTACACAGTATTGTAAATATTACTTACGAAATGCGTGTTTTGGTATGATCTTTGTTTGTGAGTTGTTCAAAGAAGATTCTTGCTGTATAGAGAAGAATATTGTGCTTGGTATAGCCAAATTATACTTGGTTTCCTCGAGTCGTTTTCTTCATTGAAAAATAATCTATGGATTTCGATCGCTACAATTTTATTGGAGCGAAAGGATAACATTGGTGGTCAAAGGATGAGCATTGTGGTATGATCGAAGGAATCCAGAGTCTCAATTTAATGAACTGTGGTGTTTAAATGAACTGTTGATTTCTTTGTACTTGTTGAATGCTTGATTTCGAATTCTAAATACAGTACATTCGTTTGTGCTTGTCTAGTACTTTTTGATTCAATTGCGTTATTTCGGGGATTCTTAGTTCGTACTATAATTCAAATAATTCGAAACATTTTATTGGCGTCGCGATGGAGCCTGTGATGGAAAAGTTAGATATTCATTCAACTTCTGAAGCTTTTGAGGATTACTTTGAAAGGTTCAAAATCTGGCCTATGACCATAGAAGATGATGAGGATGTTAATATTGTGGCACATTTCGTCACATTCATCGGAAAAGAAGCATATAACATATTAAAAACTCTGGCTATGGCGGAAAAGCCGATTTCGCTTCTTTATACAGCTCTCAAGGAACTACTTCTAGACTATGTTAAATATACAAATCTCGAACGCAATAAAGGAAGATTTTGTAAGGGGATTCATGAGGATATAAAAAATTCCTACTACATTACTACATCATCCCAACCCAGTGCGTACTCAAGGCTATGCAGATAATTCATTGAGGAGTTGCAATGCAGTTCACGAAGATGGGCACAAGTTTGGTCAGTGTTTGTTGAACTGTGGCAAGTTCGACTCTTTTAATTCATGTGTATCTCGTAATCCTAAGTGCTTAAAATGTGGTGACATTGGACATATTCAGTCAGTTTGTAATACTACTGTTCATCTTACTGCAACTAATATTAAGTCTTGTAATTCTGATTCTATTAAGTCCATTGTTCCTAATGATCATTTATCCTTTTCAACGATTTCAAAAGACAGTGTAGAGTCATATAACAGTTCAGAGTTAAATGAAACTCAGAATCTTTGCGAGACAATAGTTTTTAATCAATTGACTTATCAGATTTCTCATGTTATTGTACCAGATATGGTTTTTCCTAATGATTCACTTATTTCTGACGAAATTACTTGCAAATCTGAGGTAAAGATGTTGAATGAACCTATTCATAATCGGAAACCTGATGTAGTTTTGATAGATGCTGATTGTTCTAATGATCCTTTACTATGCAATGACATTTTTAATAAATTTGAGGGAACTATTTCAGAAGAGTCGAATCTTGATATCATACCAAATATTATTTGTCTTCATAATGCATTTGTTTATAGTGGAAAACTTGTTCAACGCGAAGCACGAGTACTAAATAAGCTCGAGTTTGGTTGCAATTCGGATGGTTTCATATCAACTGATGTTTACCCTTATCACAAAAACACTTCTAATGTTTACTCCAACCAATGTGAGAAATATGTTTTAAATAAAGCCACATCATTCATAAATAAGGGATATTAAGATCCAACATTATTTCGTGGTGGAGGATAGTGTTGAAAAATATATGACTGTAATTCTAGATATAAATTATTTCAGTACACAACCGACATGCTGATAGTATAAAATTCCAACTGAGTCTGTTCCGATTTCGATTGTTAATTCCAATACTAATGGGCACGTTCTAGATAATACCGAGTTCTTATCCAATACAATGTCGGACAGACACAGGATGTACTTAAGCAGAAAACGTGCAATCAATTACAGACATGTAAACTCTAATTTAAGCTGTGGCGGATGTGGTGTTTGAATGAACTGATGAGTTCTTTGTACTTGTTGAATACATGGTTTAAAATTCTAAATACAATGCATTCATTTGTGCCTGTTTAGTATTTTGAAGCGTGGAATGGAGTCGAAATTGACTATGTAGTGTGGTGTCGAGTGGAGATTGACTATGAACACCGCTACCAAGAAACTCGTGCCAAATGACTCCATAAAATCCCCCGGAAGCCAAATATCAGAAGGCAGTTAATGGACCAAGTCGAGATATATTTGCTGGCGATCTCGTGGTATCGAGAGGATTCCGAGATCGCGCCAGGATACAAGCTTGGTTACAGAACGTAACCGAATTCGCGCGAAGTCACAATCAAAATGTATGAATAATGGATGTTTTTAGCACAGTTAAACAAAAGCACATTAAGACAGTCACTGGTACAATTGGTTATAATAATAATTGTTTTCAATAAACCAATCATGTTCTCGTGATAAAAGTGAGTCACTACAACTTCTTGATTCAGTTGCTTTATTTCGGGGATTCTTAGTTCGTACTATAATTCAAATAATTCGAATTATTATACAGCCACATGTTTAGTCCGATCTCCTAATGCCTAAATGATTATAAATTTGTGTAGGTTTGACACTTCTAGATTCGTTGCACTACTTACTCAGACTGTTACTTACTACAGTCTTAGGGCTTTTCCTCCACGGGAAATTCCCCAGGTTGTTTACAGAGATCCATTTTCTAAGCTAGTGTTGGTTGGAGTCCAGCACGTAGTGGTACGCTGAAGTCATTGCCTCTCTGACATCTTTTAGGTTATCTTTCATAGTTACTTTCTCTTCTTCCGGTATATCTCATAGGTCTTTGGAACTGTTGCCGAGAGCCGTCATGAATTAGCTAAGCTGATTAGCACACTGAAGAAAGTCTGCACTTAACTTTCGTAGTGTTAGTTTTGAACTATGCGCCTGAACGAAAAAGGTTCTGAAGAATAAAGAAAAGTAAAAATCACTCCACAGGCTGCGACAACTGAAATGTACCAATATAGTCTCTTGTCACACTATAGAAGCGAGAATTCTAGCATGAAATTATTGGTGCACACGATTGGGGCGCCCATTATCATCCCTAAGAATAGAACCTATCTGAGACGACTGACTTAATCATTTGCACTTAAACCTGTCAAATAAACGAAGACTTCAACATCTAGGCATTTGATTTTGATATTAGATCGAGGGTTTAAAAGATACTTCGCCTTGATGCTCATTATATCAAACTCAAACATCTTGGAGAGATACAAATCTTTGATCTTTACCAAAAAACGCCGTTTGTCATTCAGTGAAACTTTGAGCTTCCCAGGTGACAATCAAAGTACGCATTCCAGCGGTGGCAACTAAAAAGTTTCGGGAAAAACACGCAGAGAATCTTTTAGACTTCCAAGATCAGCCAAAAACAATGTACCTTATAAAATATCAAACTAACTGAGTAGCCCACCACAGTGAAGATTATCTTCTGTAATAATTTGATCTTGTCTGTATACTGGCATGCCTCATGTAACAAATTATTATTATTATTATTATTAGTAGTAGTAGTAGTACGTGGTCATTGGCTCGTAACTACAAGGAGTTCGGAAATCGGTCTAAAATACACAGGGAATGTAACCAAGGCAAACTCAACTCTCTACTTATTGAGTAGATAACTTGCGTCAACCGCTCAAGAGTTGTTCTTAGGACTGTTCAAAATGTACTCACAGTTCCGCATTGAAGTCCACCATGTCACTGCCCTCTTTCCTCTCTTAGCACACGAATTATCATTTTATTATTTAATATTACAACCGAGTGAACTCCTTTCTGGTAATGTGATAGCTGCTGGTATCTACAATCTCTACTGCTTTCAGATAAACGAACTCACTCAAACTACAAAACAAGTCCACAGTTAACTATTAAACTGGTTAGAATTATTGCACTCAAGTGCCTAGACTACCACCCATTGGACATTACCAAATGCATGGAACTGCACTGAAACAAGAGGAAATGAGAGCGAATGAATCAACTGGCTTATACCATCTCGTGACAATGATGTTGAATATTGAATGCTTGCGTTATTAATCGGAATTGTAATTAGGTTACCTGTCCGTTCACAGAAGGCCCATATAGATATGCAGGTCGGAGATGTTCACGCCTTTGAAGTTGGAAGTGTAAATTGCTTAGATATGTACGCCGCGAGTATACCGAACAAAACGAAGGAGCTGCGAGATATCCGTAATACTTACAATATTCATCTGATAGGAATATCTCAAATTGCAGCCCAGAAGCCAGCAATATCTGGGATGTGTTTGTTTCGCAACGACAGAGAAGCAGGAATTTGGAGCGGAGTTGCCCCGTACGTGCGATCTTGCATGGAAGTATATAAGATGCACATCCAAGAGTCTATCAATCTGGATGAATCTGTGTGGTGCCCAGTAAGATCGTCTAATACCTCGAGGTGTCTAGCTGGATTCATCTACAGGAGACCCTCTGTTGACATTAAGTTTGACAATAGTATGTTAAAGTGATTATCCCGCTCTACTTGTCTCGGATACACTCTTATGCTGATTCTTGGAGAATTCAATCTTCTCAAAGTCAATCTCTTTGAACATACATAAGTTGGAGGTGACAACTCCACTGAAGATCGGTTCTTCAACCTTATTGATTATTCGAAAATGTCAGGTAAGCAAGTCTTTGGAGAAACAGTCAGACGCCGTTGCATTTAAACAGGGTATTTACGAACGAAGAATTCCTAATTGACAGACTCTCAATTTTCAATGCCCTAGGGAAAAGCGATCATGCAGCCATAGCCCCCAGTTTTATCAGCGAAACTGAGCTAAGACATCCTGCCAACAACAGACGCTAGGATTTCAAACGTTTGGGTGTGTCTGCTTTACAGGACAATCTACGGCAGGTGGACTGAACACTTCATTCTCAAATTGATGTGGATGCTCATTGGGAAATTTTACTCCACACTATCGTATGTACTACAAAGCAGCCTGTTCCGCAAACGGTCCCCAAAATTGACAAGTAACCTACAGTCATCAAGAATCGTGCTCTTCGTTTGCTAAGCCCATAAAGGCACTACTGGGCGAAATACTAATGAACTTGTAATAACCGAGCATATAGGCGATTCAAACAAGCATGGAATTTATGCACAAAGGCACTACGAGAAGACAGGCTTCAGTATCAGATAAAGCTTATCGATAAATCTATCTCTAATCCGAAAAGCTTATTACGCCATGCAGCCTCTCTTCGACGAGTCAGAACCGGTGTTTCCCAACTGCTAGGTCCTAACGGCCCAACCAACAACTACGGTGATGCCACCGACCCTCTGACAGAACAGTACATTTGAACATTTCAGACGACTCATACTAACTATATTGATGAGAGCCTCACCTGACACCCAACAAGACTATTTAAAACGAACCCGAGCGCTGATTTGGTGTACCGGAAACTGCACCACCTAAAAAAGACACTTCTGGTCCGGATATGGTCCACTCTACTATGCTGACAGCTTCATCCTTGGCGATACCGATTAGCGTGATGTTCCAATATCACACCGAGTTTTGAAGGAGGTTAACGCAAAGAACCTTTAAGCTACCTACCGCTAGCAGTTCTCTCAACACCCTTAAAAATTATGGAGTCCCCTGATATCCGTAGGTCTACACGAAAAATAAACATCCACAAAATTCTTTTCACCCCAACAGCGCGATCACCGGAAAGGTCATTCTTGTATAACCAATCTGCTGGTCGTGGTGGACAGATGGACAACCATTCTTGACCACAAGAGTGAGGTTGACGTCACATGTCTTGATTTCTCAAAACCTTTTGATAGGGTTAATAATATATGTCTTGTCAACAAGCTCAAACGATTAGGTATCAAATCACCTTTAGTTTGTTGGTCCACTTCACATCTTAAAATCAGCATTTTAAGGTCAGAGCTAACTTCACTTTCAGTCTATGGAGTGTCTTAGTGGGATCCACTAGGGCTCACTACTAGGACTTCTCCTTTTCTTGATTTATATAAACGGTCTCCCATGGCAGCTATTGTCAGATTTATTGATTTTTGCTGATGATGAGAAACTCTGGAGAGAAGTATTCAATCAAGAGGATAAAATGGCACTTTAGGTGTATCTAACTCGGCTTCAAAGTTGGGCGAACAACAACGGACTAACCTTTAACACCTCAAATTGTAGAGTAATCCATTTGATACATGTTGCAGACTACAAATAAAACTTAGGTAACTCTTCTTCGGAGGTATCTCATGTTGAAAAAAATCTAGAGTGGTGGTACTCTAGAAACTGAAATCTTACGCTAACTTCGACGGAAAAGCTTTTCGAGTAAACATTGCACTGGTAACGTTGAAGAGCATTTCCAGCCGGTTCGACGGAAGAACATTTTAAATAATCTTCAATATTTCAATTCGACCCTATTTAGAGTATGGAAACATAGTGTTTCCTCCCTCACTCCAAAATAATAAGGACACTGTAGAACGTATCCGACGGCGAGTAATGAAACCAGTTCGAGGACTCAAATTCAATTCTGATGAAGAGCGCCTATAATCACTGAAACTTTATTCACTTAAGTACAGGAGTCACAAAGGTGACTTTCTAATGACTTACAGCATGCTGAAAACTTCTAGGCATCCCCTTAGACACCTACTTAGGCTTTGCTCCAACACAAAACTTAGGAGTAACACCCAAAAACTGCAGACACAACACATCATAAAGTATTGTAGATACAACTTCTACTCTTTAAGAGTTGTCAAATGCTGGAATTTACTGCCGGCTGAGCTTTCTCAAGTGGCATCCTAAAAGTCCTTTAAGACAAAACTTGACATATTCTTAAGGACTAAGGATAGTACCTTACTATGATTCACCAAACTACCGGAAAATTGGAAGTTAGCTCACATCACACCTATTTTCAAAGGTGATCGACGCAATGAACCTTCAAGTTATCGGCCGGTGGCTCTTCTGTCATTACCTTCAAAACTCATGGAGTCCCTCATATGCGACGGTTTGAACGACTATTTACTGTCCTTAAATTTCTTCTCACCCCAAAAGCATGGTTTCAGGAAGGGTTACTCTTGTATAACCAACCTAATGACTGCGGTGGACAGATGGACAAGCATCCTTGATATCATCTACCTAGATTTCTCAAAAGCTTTTGATAAAGTTAACCACTTGTGTTTTATCAATAAGCTCAAACGACTAGGTATCAAACCACCTCTAATCGATTGGCTTACTTCATACCTAAAAAATCGACACTTTAAGGTTAGGGCTAATTTCACTTTGTCTCAGGCTATGGAATGTCCTAGTGGGGTCCCCCAGGGCTCAGTACTAGAGCCTCTTCTCTTCTTGATCTATATAAACGATCTTCCTCAACAGGTAACGTCAGACTTATTACTTTTTGCCGAGGACGTGAAATTTTGGAGAGAGGTACGGAACCAAGACGATACACAGGCACTTCAGGAGGATCTGACTCGACTTCAAAGTTGGGCAGACGATAACGGACTTACCTTTAACACTTCAAAGTGTAAAGTAGTCCATCTGCGACATGTCGCAAACTACAGCTACAACTTAGGAAACGCCTCTCTAGTAGTATCTCAAGTCGAAAAAGATTTAGGAGTCCTGGTGCCCCATGATTTAAAGTCTTACGCTAACTGTGACAAAAATGCCTTCCGAGTAGACCTTGCACTGGTAACGTTGAAGCGCATTTTTGGTCAGTTTGACGGAAGAAATTTCCATACAATCTTCAATAGTTTTATCAGTCCCCATTTAGAGTACGGAAACATAGTACACCCCCTCTCACTCCAAAAGGACAAGGTCACTTTGGAGCGTATCCAACAGCGAGCCACGAAATCAGTTCGAGTACTCAAATCTAAGCCTTACGAAGAATGCCTCCATTCACTTAACTTTTACCCATTAGAGTACAGGCGTCTTAGAGGTGATTTATTAATGGCTTATAGTATTCTTAACACTTCTGGACATCCTCTTAAACACCTACTTAAGCTTAGTTCGAATAATAACCTAAGGGGTAACACCCAGAAACTGGAAACTCAACATAGCAATACGGAATGTAGACACAACTTCTACTCCTTAAGAGTTGTCAAAATCTGGATTTCGCTGCCGGCCGAGCTAGTCCAAGCAACTTCTCATGAGTCCTTCAAGAGGCAACTTGACCTATTCTTAAGGATCAAGGACAGTATCACACTATGATTTACCAATTTCTTTTCCTCTTTTATTGTTAACATACCTAGGTTCCTGCCTGGAGGATTTGGTGATCCCCTGCTACTAGACACGGAAGCCTGTTAAACGAAAGCTTCTTCTATTCCGTCCACAACCATTTGAACCAATTTCTTTCTCCTCTTTTATCGTTAATACATCTAGGTTTCTGCCTGGAAGTATCGATGACTTACTACTGATAGACACGAAAGCCCGTTAAGCGAAAGCTTCTCCTATTCCGTTCACAACTATTTGAACCATTTGTACCATTTGGAATGTCCTCATTTTTAACCTTTCAAGGTCGTTTGCCAACACAAGGTCAAGGTAGGTCATACTGATCCTGGCAAATTATCGAGTTCCTTCGGTTGTAGTACTCCGTTTATGGGTACCTGATATATGTTATCTTTTAAGTCACAGCACTGGTTCGCCTGGCTCACGTCAACCTTCGAAAATATCTACTGAAGGAGGTAATAAATTATTGTACATCCTAAATTAAATAACTTATGCTTCGGAAACCTTTACGATGACATACAATGAAAGAGATTATAAATGTTGTTGCACTTTTTAAAGAATATTTTTGAGCAAATTATCTCAGACTAACCAAATAAAACAAGTGCCGTTAATACGTGTTCCTGAACACTGCCTACTTCGACAGTCGGTGTTTTCTGGTGTAGGAGTAGGATGGGAAGAAGCAAGGCGCGGCCAAACCAGAACATGACATCAGTCCATGAAGTCACTAATAATAGGACTGGGTCATGTTAGTAGGTTTAGACTGCCTGACTGAGGTCCACGTGATGATCGTAACCAATCGTTAGGGACTTTCAATGACACGGCTCGAAGTCATTTGCAATGGTACAAGTGTGTCCATTCTTTGTCTTCTTCCAGATTATGGGTTCTTAACTTTTTTGTCTTCATTTCACCGATTCATGTTGTCTCGAATGATACCTTCAATACCTAATCTTTCCTGTTACCACTGATACTGAATGCATGGATAAATGTGGCTATGAAAACGTGTTTAGACAGAGCTTTACTTAATGCTTCAATGGGAAAGTAAGTAAGCAGGTAAAAAGCAAGTAGTTTTGCGTTTATGAACTCTCTAGAAGTGTTCTTATTGGTTTATTGTTCTGGATGACAAGTAAAATAAGGACATGACAGATGCTAGTCAGTCATCTACATCGTAGGACCAGAAACATATACAAGTCCAAGTTGCCACACTTCATTAGCACAACAAGATGAGCGCAAAATTCATAGAAGTAGTCACTTCAACGGTAGCAATATATAAAAGAAAGATTGCGTATAAGGATATAATACAGGAAGAAAGAATTAGTTTGTAGGAAGAAAGGTATAAAGCAATTTTAATCTCGCGGTTTAAGGGAAAACAACGAGTGTATAAACCTATGCCAGTTTAATCGATCCTGAGCAACGCCACTCAGAGTCTCCAACTATTGGTTACGATAGTCGTGTGGACCCCAACCAAGTAGTCTTCATCTATCAACATGGCTCAGACCAGAAGTTAGTGACTTCAAGGACTGATGCCACGTTTCGGTTTGTTCGCCCCTAACTTTCTTCCAATCATCTCCAACACTAGTCAGCATTGCACGTCGTGGTAAACGGTGTTTAGGCATACGTAACACATGGTCCAACCAACTCAGTCGATGAAGATTTACAGCCTCATCAACTGATTTACCATCATTCCCCAATACTGTGCGTCTAATCTTTTTTTTAAAAAACCTTTTTTTATTTCTTTTTGTATTTGCTACTGCCTTTTTGTTCGTTTTTCAGTAAGTAACTTGTTGAAATACCCTGTGCTGAGAATTCTATATTGTACCAAAATATAATATTGAATAAAGCCATTAATAATAATAATAATAATAATAATAATAATAATAATAATAATAATAATCTCACTATTACTTACCAGGTGATTTCGGCAAATGCGAGCAATATTCCTAAGATACATGTGATCAAATAGCATCTGTGGAATGCTAAGATATTTTTCAGTGACTTCAGAACTATAACTAGGTCTTATCTAGTCCTTCGATAAAATAAACAAGTTTAATTAACCCAGTCTCACTATACGACCGCTTTAAAATCCCAGAAATCAACGTTTTCTGATAGCTTTTGGGGGTGATGAGTCTCCAACTATCACAGAAATAAATCAACTTTAAAATCATATATTCAGTATGTTATTAGTCAATTGGTTTTAATTTGTCTTTATTGTATTCCGGACCACTGTGATTTTGTGAGAAGTGATGACCACTCAGTTTAATAAACTTTATGATAAATAATCATCAAATAGTTGATACATAATTAAATAAACCTGAATGTAATTTAATTTTCTTCGGTCTTCATCAATACACCTTTCCTTACAAAACTTTTCTGTTTTCCAATCAGTTATGGGATGGTTGTTGAAGCGTTATTTGCATCAGTCGTACAACCTACTCGGTTCGTATAGATCCTGTCGTGTATTGAAAAAAACCTTCCACTGGTTCGTAATCAGAAAATACCGAATCTAATCTCGATTCACAAAAGTAGTTCACTATTTTCTGGACAGGATATGGGTGTTTGTGTAGAATACTTGAGTTACAATCTAATGAGCACTGCATTCGATTTCACGAATATATTAACATCTAGGCGGGTGAAAACTCTACACATCGGTTAAAGGGTCTCATAACTTCTGGTAGCTACTGTGTGACTGGTAATTATCTCCATTTCACTGTTTGGAAAGCAGGTAAATAAACATTATTCACCGTGATTGTTTGTGTCTTGATGAACAATGTGGGTTTGTAACTATTTGGCTGTTCTTAGCCTTCTTCCACTCTGTAATGACCAGTAGGGGTTGTCCAAGGATTAGTTCGTGGCTTCAAAACTTAAAAACGTACCCAAATAAAGTAATGTCACATAAAAAGGACCTAATTGTATCATTTCTGCACTGCATCGTATGAAATATGTGATGTAAGTGATGCTTGTCTCTGTTTCCTTTTTTGACGTTAAGAATTTTACTTTATTTTAAAGAAAAATTAGACTCGGTTATTGGATGAAATATTTTTGAATGTCAATCAGCAACAAGGACGTGATTGCATTATCAAAGTAAGTCTTACATTTGTGTAAATCAATAGCTTAAACTTTTAGATTTGGATTTATTATTTATTTATTTAAACACATAAACATTGGTACAAGGAGGCACCAAATACATATGCGCCACATAAATCATTCGATTTGTGTGAGGGGTGGGATACTGCCCGGGTGCCCAGACCGAAGCAGGTGGTTTTCTTAGGGGGACACACCCCGAGCCTTGGACCTAAAAGTCTGACCCACAAGGCAGTGGAGCATCGTGAGGAGATGCAGTCCCATGGTAGCCGGTGACCAACGATTAGTTCATACGCCATTTGTTCCTTCAGGATACTGGAGCCCATGTGCACCATTAGTTTGGAATCCGGTTAAAGCGCCGGACATTCACTTTTCGTCCTCTCATTTTCGTAATCAACACTCCCGCCACGAGAAGGCAGTGGGTAGGACTTCCCTAGCAGAAGCTGTATACGCGTGGCCATGTGAGAGCATTTCGAGAGGGAGGAAGGGCCCACCCCAGTCTCTGCCATACCAGGGCATTTGGGGGCTTAGATTTGGATGCTGCATCTTGTCAAATAAACTCATGTTTTTAGACTACCACATATATTTTCCGTAACAAAACAAAGTTATAATGTCGACAAAAAGATTCAGCATAGATGTCTGAATAGTAAATTGACGAGAGGTTTCATTTTTATTTACATTACATTTCCTTAGCATCCTTAACTCGAAGAGTCTGTTTCACAAGCATAAAGCAAAATTAATGGAATTGAAACGTACACTATTTTTTTTTTACTGACGGACGTCGAACGTGGACTAGATCGTTATTTTTTCTTTATCCTTCACAAGTTTGTGGTCATCCTTCTACTTGTTTATCTTCCATTTGCAACAAATATCCTGCTTTTTCCCCATGTTTCCTTGTTTCTGTCTGTTTTCCCTTTGTATGAAGTTGTAGAGTTTATTAACTTACATATGCGGTTTTGTCTGGGATTTGTTTGATTCACCAGGAGGTTTAGTCATCGACAAGGGATTAATATTATTGTAAGCATAGTCTTTATTACATTATAAATAGTGAAACCCAGCTATATCAATTAAAGGTTATTCGTGATGTTTTGGTATTCATTTTTGTGCCACATAACCCTAAATATTTTTTAAAACACCATGTGACACCAAGCTGCTCTACCCATTGTTAAATGTCACGGAACGAAAGTTACTAATTTCTATTCGGTGATTCTCTTTTCTTACCTACTTGGATATTATGAGAAACTCTAAGGTATCATTTTTCCTTCAGAAAACTTTATCCTTTTCTCCATGCAATCAACAGATTTCTTATCGGACTCATCCTTTTAAATGTCATCGCATCACTTCATGTAGTACATATTTCGTTGTCCCTACTAGAGAAAATCTTTATTTTCGGAAAATGAGAATAACAACAATTGATAAAAAACATCTGAAATATTGTTTCTTTTCCTTGCTTTGATAGCTTTCTTCATCCCGATCGGATTTCTCGTCAAACACTACAAGGAATTAGTAGTGCAGCGCAACAGCAATTCGCTAAATCAGATCGATATAAACTATGCCGTGTTTTAGTTAGTTAATATACTTTGAGTAATAATTGTGTGCTCTTTTTAGATGTTTCTCCTTCAAAATGACTTCCTTCATGATGCAATAATTCATTTTGCAGCTGTTTATTTATTATGGGACTTGTGGAAATCAGATAACTCTTCCATCAATAATAATCCATTCACAGAGTTTTTAATTTCATTTATGGTTAGTTTGTTTCGCATATCTATTCCTTAATTGTGTGCAAACTTTTAGCAGGATGAAGTGCATTGCAAGTTGCCGCGATCTGCAATTTCAATGTTTCATACAATTCTTCGTCAACCCGATCAAATTCATGATGTATGTGGCAGTGTTTTTTATTAATATGCTTCAAAATTTATCCTTTTTACGAACAGTTTCTAAAGTATACTCCAGCACAGATATTTGATTTACCGTATCCTCCGACTGACATTAGAGTGAGTGTGAATATGTATATGTTTTGCTGTCTATTTCTTAATGGAATTTATTTAGGAAAGCATTATATCTCTATTTTATTCCTTGTCATTCAATGTAGCTGGACTGGGATCTGGTCCCATTAGCTAATTCACTGAAATCATCTGGCCGTGTTTCGAAGTTCGCTGACTCTGGAATGGTTTGTATTGTTCCTGACGAAGATATTCCACGTTCTTTTGAGTAAGTTTATTTGCTCTAGTATTCCAAACCCCCCTTTTTGAAACTTGAAAAGACTCACTTCTGTGGTAATTTGGGTGATATTTACAAACTCGGACTTCATAATGATGTAATGTTTTATATTTCTTTTAACCAGTGAATGTATTTTAAATGCCAGTTAAACAACAACCTGATGACAGAAATTACATAAAAATAATTTGACCTGTACTTCTGTTATTGCCGTCACTATATACATAAATGTATAACTTGGTAATAAATTAACTGAGAAGAATTCTCTGAATTTCATGTTATATTTTTATTGTAGGCCATCATTTCACTTACATAACACAGATGATTCCTGTGGTACATCTGAATTACAACGTCAATGTTTAGATTCTCTTTTGTCACGTAGTGAACTGTTAATAGGTCGCAATAATGTCTTCCCAGAGTTTCTTCGTATTTCCCCACCTTTGTTACCATGCCCCCAAGGAATTGATCAGATTTTATACAGTGTAGATGAAGAAAATGAATCCATCAGTCGTACAGTTTCCAACTTTAGTCCTTCAGAGAAAAGATCTATCAAGAAGTCTAAACCCACTTATGGCTGGTCAGAAGAACTTATTTGGCTTAATCCAGACATTGTTGAGCACGATTTTCATTGGAATAACAGTATGGAACTTGTTGATATAACAGTTGAGGTGAATTTTTAGTTAACATTTTTATACAACTTAGCATTTTTTTCTCAATTAGTTAATGGATTAATTCTTGTTAAATGTATATGAGTACTTTTCATTCAAGTATAATAATTTGGATAATCTGCTAAAACGGTGCTTTCACTAGTTTTCACAAAATAACTTTCACACAGATTTCTCTCAAACTTTCAGAGTTTTTTCCGGGACTTGATTTACCAAGTTTTTTTGGTGATATTAGAATAAGATAATAGACCTTGTGAATCACAACTGGCCTTCAGCCACACTTCGATTTCCCACGATCTCTAGTCAACCTGAATGGCAAGTTAATGTAGGTCCTCCGTCTCTTTATGAAGTTGAAAAAGCCATAGGAAATCTGAAACGAGGGAGAGCAGCAGGCCCTGACAGGTTTACTCCTGAGATTTTTAAGGATGGTGGTCCAGTATTAGCAATGAGATTAACCGAGGTCTTAGGTAGAATTTGGGAACTGGACGTAATCCCATCTGACTGGTCTCAATCACTGATTGTGCCAGTTTATAAGAAAGGACAAAAGTCCTCTTGTGACAATCACAGAGGAATCAGTTTGACTAATATAGTGTCTAAAATATTAGCCTCAATAATACTTCGACGCCTAATCAAAGCTCGTGAAGAGCAAACTAGAGAAAACCAGGCCGGTTTTCGACCTGGACGTGGTTGTATAGATCAGATATTCACACTACGTCAGGTTCTAGAACACAGACACACATTCAGACGCCCCACAATGGTAGTATTTCTCGATCTTAAGGCGGCATTCGACTCTATTGACCGTGAGGTTCTATGGCAGTGTTTGTCACTGAAAGGAGTACCAAAGAAGTACATTAACCTTATAAAGGCTCTCTACTCGAACACAACTGGTAGAGTGAGAGCTTATGGCGAACTGTCATCAGAATTGATTACCTCAAGTGGTGTTCGTCAGGGCTGTACACTCTCCCCATTCTTGTTCAACTTTGTGGTCGACGTACTTTTAGAGATAACACTCTCCTCATCTAAATTTCCGGGGGTTGAACTTCTACCGGGAGGTTCACTTGTTGACTTAGAATATGCAGATGACATAGTTTTATTTGGTGAAGACGCTGACAAAATGCAGAGTCTTCTGACCACTCTAAGCAACAATGCAAGCATGTTCGGGATGCGATTCTCTCCCTCGAAATGCAAAATGTTGCTTCAGGATTGGGTTACATCGACATCCGAACTAGTGATAGGGAGTGAAGTAGTTGAGTGTGTCGACCGCTTCACTTATCTTGGAAGTCTCATCAGCCCTTGTGGTCTGGTGTGTGACGAAATCTCAGCACGGATACAGAAGGCTCGACTAGCTTTTGCCAACTTGCGTCATTTATGGCGTAGGCGAGATATCCGTCTACCAACCAAAGGACGTGTTTACTGCGCAGTAGTTCGTTCCGTCCTACTTTATGGCTGTGAAACATGGCCGGTAAGAGTAGAGGATATTCGTAGGTTACTAGTATTTGATCATAGGTGTCTTCGAAGTATTGCTCGTATATCCTGGGACCACCGAATAAGTAACGCAGCTGTTAGGAAACGGGTACTAGGTAAGGATGGCAAATCAATTGATGAAGTAGTGAAACTTCATCAGTTGAGATGGCTGGGACACGTGTTACGTATGCCCAACCACCGACTACCTCGACGTGCTATATTCAGTGGTATAGGAGTAGGTTGGAAGAAAGCTAGGGGCGGCCAGACCAAAACATGGCACAAATCCATGAAGTCACTGACAAGTGGACTGAGTCATGTTGGTAGGTGTAGACTACCTGGTTGGGGACCGCGAGATGATAGCAACCGATGGTTAGAGACCCTGAATGACATGGCTCAAAATCGTTTGCAATGACGCAGGTGCATCCACTCTCTATGTTCTACCAAATTCTAATTATCTGAATTCTTCATGCCCCTTTTTTTCCTCTTTCCAAATTTTATTTCACTGGATTATACTCGTTAAATAACATCTCCAAACCCTAATCTTCCCGATTACTGCTTATACTCTTGCTACCTCTACCACTACGGGATTTGAATCGACCACTGCATCTCTGTGCTAATGTGGTATGGCAACTCGAACTGATGTACGTACGTACGAAGTTCTACGTTGTTACTGACTGACTGACTGAATCACTAAAATTCTCAGATGCATTTATTTCATTACTTACATTTGAGTTCACTGGTAACAAGTTATAGTGAAATCTAAGAATTCTAAAGATAATTGAATGAGTCCTCTGTGATGGCAGTGATATGTATAAAATCAGAAGATGGACTATAATCTCTAAAGCGCCGATATTATTTGTGATTGATAGTTAGATATAATCTGGGATATTAGTTTACAGATTGTTGTCGCAAAAATCCAGACTTAGATAAAGGAAGTAATTCTTTATATGAAGGAGTCTGAAACAGTAATTTCTGATTTTTCGCATGATTGGCTTCTCAACCTACTAACTTCAGTTACTTAAAGTAGTAGTATACACGAATTTTATTACATATGCTTTCACACAAAGATGGTTGGGTTTCATAGTTCAGGATATATATAGTGGTTAAAATTTCTTTTTTGCTCAAGTTAAAAACCCACTTTTGTAGTAGAGCAAAACATTTACGATAGCGATTGTAGTAGAACATATAACGGTTGATCGTAGTCATTTCTCAGGCGTCTAATAATACTCATCATACTGAAGGATTGTTTACTTGACTAAATACTATACTCTGTATAGCTTCTGTGTGATTTATTGATGACTTATAGACGTCAGTCTCAGATTATACCCTTTTACGCATTTCGAATATATCCATGTAATGATCCATGATATATATACTGGATTCACATAATATTATCGGTCACACGGGATCAGTCATTTCAATTACACAAAACTAACGGCCTACACATTTGTAACTTCATAAAATAGTGATCTTGTCGGAACTATTCTGCTTCATTGTAAGTTGTACTTTATTAAGCGGTTAATATCAAATATATGTATTTCTGATATTTGTATTTTATAATCTTCGTAAACTATGTTTCTTGTCTTTTAAAATTAGCTTCGTCATTTGGTTTCCGCAGCCATGACATCCACTTTAACCCAGTCGCAGCAACAAACTGTTGTTCAAGCAATTAAGGATAATCCAGATGTTATCTATAATGTTGGTATCACTCCAGAGATTGTAAGTTTATCATACTAGTCTATATTTTCTACTACCTAGAGTTGATTTATTGTATATTTAACTTAGTTTTCAAATGACCAATAGAGAGCATACTCGTGTTTATCACAGTTCGAGTTTCTCAGGTTAAAATATTCAATGTTTTAATCTGTTGACTTTCAACTATTACTGTGTTGTTATTCCGAATTTTACTATTTTGACTGTTCTAAATAATCAAGTAACATCCATAATTTGCACAAATTAAGTATGACAAGTGTGTTTACTTAACTGTTAACAGTAACTGCGACAAAGAAATTTATTCCTAAGATTTATTACGTTTGTACATTAGTTTAAATAAACATATTTATCGATAGGGATAAATGAATAATTCAGTTAGACAAATATAATAATAGTTGGACGTGCTTCATATATTTTATATGTATTATACTGATTCATTTTCCCCTACTCCTTATGTCTTTACTACTATGTATAACCATTATCTATTCATGATTGATATTTGATATCTAAACAATAGAAAATATTTTGCTAGGTAAACTTTTTTATTAAAATAAAATGAGCAACATGTATATTTACTTTGAAATCGCCTCCCAGCCCTGCTAACTGGGAGGAGAAGACCAGGTTCAGCTGAGGGAAAGTATATTCCACAAGCAGTCATAAGCACAAACGAACCAAGTACGCAACTCAAGCGTGTATATATACAGTATTAAAAAGTTCATGAGAAACGTCATAAAATGGTGTATTAGAAGAGGAAATAGACCAATGACATTTAAAGTCCTTTAAAGTGAGAAATACAATCTGAAGGTAAAAATGAACGCTTTTGGTGCGGAAATGGAAAATTCAAATTTCCAAAATAAAATTGCAAAAATAAGATGTTTATCAAGTGATTTCTTGAGGTTTAGCATCCCTAACGCATTCTGAGTTGATTTTGTGAAAATCACTAAATAGACAACACGTTGTTTAAAGGATCATTTATTGCGTTTGAGTCTCGTTGTGATTATCAACACTGAAATGTAGACCTCACCCAGTTGACTAGTTTCAAATAGGATAAAATTCCCATCCTGAGTTTTATTGTTAGCCACCATTCAACTTTATTAGATGTAATTGTATTACGTTCTGTATCTTTAATTCTCTATGACGGGTACGGCTGGTAGGGATGCTCCTGAAGTCTTAGCGTACAAACTTCATTGATTTAATGAATAGTTTTATAATCATATGATTTTAATATTGTTGCTTGTTCTTCGTTATTTTTCCACTGGGCCATAAAATCACTGAATATTTAAAGGTACCGAATTTCGTGAACCGTAACCCAGTTATCGCTATTGAAGTTTTACAATTGTTGATTACATCACCGAAACGAGATGAGTAAGTCCATTATGATTTGTTTGTTTGTGCGTGTGTGTTCAATTGTAATTCCCCTATTTGTTTAGTGTTTCTTATTCGATTTTCATGTTCGTAATTCTTATAATTCTATTTTGATATCCTTCTCTTCATAGTCCGTTGTTAATTAGTGTGTTAATTGGGGAAAATATCTTATGATCACAAGAACTGTTGTTTTTTTGGCAATTTCCTTAGCCTACATTTTCTTGGCTTTGTTCAAGGAACTTAATTCAACAGTTAAATATATAATGGCTTGTATTTACTCTTTGTTTGTGTTGAGGATTAAAACTGATCAAACTCCCTTTAGCTTACATACTGGCTAATATGTTTAATTATTCTCAGTTGATAATATAATAATAAAACTGAATTGTCAATCATTAGTGAGTAATTTGTGTTTAATGTGAAAGAACTTTAGAGTTAAAGTCTTAAAACTGGCATCTTTCCATAACTTTTTAATATAATACTTCTGGAATGTTAAGATAATTTTTATTGGTTGATGTTTTTTTTTTAAGTTTAGAAAGGAAAACTAGACGTGTAAGGTCAACTCACTAGATTATGATTACAGTTAGTTGAGAAAAGGGTCAAAGTATTACTATGACAGTTGGAGGTTAAAGACTGACTCTTTTGAAATATAAAGATCAGATATAAATCTTCTAATTTCTATGACCTGCAAATTTCGAAAGTGTAGAATTAGATTGTTTATTAATAATTCATTAAATCCACATTGTACCCCGTGCCTAGTGGTTGGCGTGCTGTTAAACTTCGTAAGCAACCTTCTACCCGAACTCACAGATTCTTTGGAACATACTGATGAAAACGAGTAGAAAACCGTCTTCCTATCCTTCTGATATACGGGCTTTTGCATGCACATATGAATGATTATATTCAGTTTGAAGTAACACACGATGAATATTTGTCATTTTTTTGCATTATTTGACATAGTTTGCTGTTTAGTGGAGTCAATTTCGCTGTGCGGAATGTGATTTTTAAAGCTGCTTTTAGTCCTTAATTATCTTTATCCGTCATTCGATCGCCTTTCAATGACGGTCAAATAAAATCATTTTTAGTAGGTGTATGTTCTTTCGTCTTACTTCGGTAATCAGTACTATAGTTAATTATAATTTGATTGAAGGTATCCATCCTCTTACAGACAATGTTTTTATTGTGTACTCCCTCTCGAGTTTTTTTGGTGAGCGTGATTTTTTGGCTGTGTGGTAAAACGTTTTCACCAACCCATATTTATATCCAATAGGGTCTAAGCTGTTAGAGTTTAGGTGTTACTCACTCTAGATTGCTTTTCAACGTACATGCTTTTGAAAAGTTCCGTTATTTCTTCTGGAAATATCTAAGTAGAGAAAACGGAACGCACTACGTATTTAATCTTTAACTTCAAGTCTAATATTAATATGAATTTTAAAAAAATTCAAGTATTTTGTTTGCGTAATTTACGTCGTTGCATAAAACAAAAGTATCATCGACGTACCTTGCACAGTGTGTATTCTTGTTGTTGACAGTAAGTAATTTTGTTCTTTCCGAATTCGCAACATATATGTTGGCAAGAACAGGCGCCAAAGGATTGCCCATCATCACTTCATCTACTTGACAGTATAATTTATTGTTTAATTTGTAGTAGACATTCTTAGTACATAGTTGTGACAACTGTTTGAGCTATATTTATGGTATGGATATAAGTTATAAATGTTTTGTAATGGTGCCCAATTGTTTCTTCCAATGGGGGGTATTGATAAAAAGTGATGATACATCATGCGAAACCATCAGCTTATTTGATATGTTTAGCCTCTCTTAAGGGCTTGATATAGTATCATACACTGAATAACTAAAACGTTTCTAAATAATTTCTTTCTACCCTTACTTTCGCCTTTGCGTTGCTTAAATATCTGCTTGAAGACATTCGTACATCTGGAGATTACCATAAAGCTACCCTGTCAACCATCTGAACACACTAAATCATAACTCACTGATATGGTTGTAGCTTTTCATCTTTTCGATGCTTATTATAATGTAATTGTTAAATATACAGTTTAGTTATTGTTCGTCATCTAGAAGTTATCCAATTGAAAGACATGTGAACTGTGTTCACGATGCACTCTCCCTCATCCTTTAAATTCAACTAAGTGATTACATAAGTAATGTATTGTGTGTTCCGTATAAGTTTTTCTTTATCTTTATACGTTTGTTGTGAAACTCGGTGAACATATACTTGGTAATATAATTTGGTTGGGATAATAATACAATATCAATATGTATAGATCACTATCACTTATTTTAAATGTTCTCTGTTAATATTACTATTTGTTTTGTGAATCTTTTTTTTTCTGTTTCTTGACTGATTAAATTTGGGTAAAACATAAACCTCTTTATTTTCATTGCAAATAATTATTGTAATTTTTCTATTGAAAATCAATAAAGGTATTTAAATGCTCTGCTAAAAATGGAAGTTACTGTACAATCAATTGAAGTAGTAAATCGACTATCTACAAAAATTGTATTACCTACAGAATTTATACAAGATTATATATCGAATTGTTTAGCATTTTGTTATTCAGTAAATGATAAATTTTATCAAATGAGACATGTTCGTTTAGTATGTGTACTACTACAATCACTTATCAGGAATAACATATTAGATATTCATAATCAGGTAGAGTTTTTATTTGTTTTTTAATTGTTAATTTATTTAAAAAAAAATTGAATTAAATTCAATGATGTCAAATGTTCATATTTATTTAATGGAAAATAATGAAGGTGATATTTCGGTGTTCATTAGTGACTGATGTTTTATGCGATAAAGGAATTGGATTATATTTTCAGACAAACTGATCTTTTGTGCTGCTTCTAAATATTACATGATACTGAGAAGTAATTGAGTCTACATTAATATCTACTTATATGTAAACGGCAGCATGTCTGAGGTTATAGTACTAAGTGAATTACATTAAGAGGATTGGATTATGCATTTTATCTGTGAATGTTGTAAAACTACTGTATCACTAAACTTGATTATCCAGTTTCCTGAAATTATTCTTATCCCATCGATTTGTCTTTATTTTGTACTTACATGTATACTTATGACAAATACGTTTCACATTGTGTGAAATATTGGATGTGGGATTAAAGTTAAAACATTGCTTGTGAGTAGTTAATCTACAGCATTCGGTTTCACGTCAAGAAATGAAAGGAAAAAGCTAATTATCTTATGTTAAAAATTTTTTATGCCAAGCTGTTGGTTTTATGTTGTCGACCCTATGATGCCACACGGTCAAATACCTTAATCGTATTTAGTAGCTTAATTCAAGATGGAATGAGATGAATGTTCTGAGATGATTTGTCCTATTTGCTGGTGTTTTGAAAAATCCAGAGGACCTAATATTGTCACACATCAAAAAGGTAAACTGTGAGCTAATTACACTATATCTGATAAATTCGAATCAAACTACGTTTACAAACTGGGTTCTAGGCGATTAACACAATTCATTGAGCGGCTTTTAATGTAAAAATGATCATATATCTAAATAACATTAGACCGTTTATCGGAATTTAAAACATAGGTCTCAATATATCCGTGGATTGTCATCGTTAGTTTTGTAGACATCAAATTAAGTCAATCTCTTTACGTTGAAAAAAGTTTTGTTGAATTTTTAAACCAGTCGCAACAGTGTAACTGGATTTACATTTGATTCACAAATACTTGGCTTTCGGTATACTTTGTATTCTTACTTTTCAGGATATCTTAATCGAAGTGAGGACTTTTTGTTTAGAATTTACCAAAGCTCGGGAAGCGACCACTCTTCATAGACTTATTTTGAATATGGAGAACACTAACACAGCTTCATCGGCTACAACGTTCAGCAACAACATTGGCACTTCCACGACTACGACTAGTCCTACTTGTTCATCAACTGGTATACCACAACAAGACATTTCTAATGAAAATAAAGAAACCTAATAACTGGGTTACTATTTTACATTACAGATGAATTGTATAGATCATAAATAAAGACACCAAGGTCTGATTTTTATTCAGTGATATACAGTACTGATAAAGCGAATACTTATTTGTTTATAATCCTCACAAACAGTTACTTGTTGACATTATTAGTATAACTCCCCATGAAAGTACGAAGAAGGTAATAAAAATTGTTCAAAAGTCTATTGATTCATCGCTACTACTGAATCAGAAAAATAAGTTTACAAGTTGTATATATAGTGAAGTCAAAAATAAAACAGCAAAGAATCTTTTGTCGCAAACGTCTTCGCACTTTGTTAGAGGTTGCGAACCGCATTAGTGATGAGCGTTTGAAAAATCGCCGTCTTGTTTAGTTATTACTAGTTCCAAAGTAAAAGTGGTTGACTTTTCTCTTGACTTGCATCGCGAATTGTTCACCATATATCTGAATATGTTTTCTGTGCATTCTTTAGCGTCGTGGAGTCCGTATATACTCTTCACTCCGTCTGAGTAATGACTGTTGTGTTGTTTTGTAAGTTGTGCGTATTATTTAACTTCTATCTACTGTAATGCTTTAGAAGTTCGTGGGCAATACAGTTTATGTTTCTTAATTGCTTATGCTTAACTTGTAAGAGTTCGTCTTTTCACATATGCTATTAGCTTCTGGCGGCAAGGATATTGGCACGTAACAAATATCCTACAATTGCACTCACACGTGCTCATATTCACTTCATAATGCTTTCCGCAGTCAACCATGGACAACCAGTCGCAATTTTTATATTCTGACGACAATCTTCTGGTCCATGGATCACAAATCATCCGTGAACTACTACAAGGATGATTGTGAGTCATGTATGATTTTGTGACATATTCTTGATCTTCCAATCTTATACGGAACCTGGATTGGCAGTTTATAAACTTAGAACTTAAATGTCACATACTAAAATTCTCAGTTTTTAATTCACTGACAGACCTTCGGATTTACGTTTACGACCATACGTGCAATGAAACACCACAAACAAGTATTTAAATGTCATATCCTTCAGCAGTTTACTTTCTGCGTGAGTGTAATGGTTATGGGTAATCTGCGAAGGAACTACCCAGGTTCAAATATTTGTTTGTGACGTTTCACTGCACATTCGGTCTTAAGCGTAAATCAGTTCTGACAATGAATCAAAAACCGTGAGAATTTTAATATGTGACATTTAAGGTCTAGTTTCGTACACTACCAATCCAGGTTCCGTATAAAATTGGGAGATCAAGAATATGTCATAAAATCATAAAACTTGACTCACAATCATCCTTGTAGTAGTTTCTGGATTGGATTAGTTGCCATAGATTCACACAACCTGTTAACTCCCGAGAAACATGGGTTTCGTAACAAGCGTTCATGCTTGGCTAACTTATTGCCAGAGAGGGTTGGACAGCAGCCCCAGATAACGGTCTGTCTGTCGATATGACATTCATAGATTGTAACGGAAAAAGAACGACTAAAATCCCTCTGCAGCTTCTTTGTTGAACAGTATTGTCATTTATTTGTTCCCTCTCCCTGTTGTGTATTTTGACCTTTGCTTAGATCTCGTTTGATCACACCTTTTGTTCTTCAGTCATTCTCGTCTGAGCTTTTATTATGTGACTTTGATCAAAGACTTATGTTTTTGTTACCTAATTTTCTATTGCATGTTGCCAGACTATTGGCAGTAAGGTCATGTTTGACTAAGCTCAAGGTCACGGCGTGGTTCAGTGTGTGACTGTTAACCTTTTGACTGTCTGCTTGGGAGGATTGCTGGAATCCCTGCGGATAGATATTTAATCCTATATTGTTGGGAATATTTTTATTGATTCTCAGGTGTCAATCCTGCTAGTATAAACTGTTTCCTTCATTGTTTAGTGCGTTACTTTGCGTTAGAGAAACTTCTGACTGTATAGCATAGGCTGTACCGTTTGAGGAAAGTGTACTTTTGATATAATTTGTTCTGTTTTCTAAATTGGAACGGTTTATATTGAGCACAGAGTTTGTGTTTTGATATAATGTAATACGAGTGTCTCAGAAACGCTTTGTGAGCTATACTGAGGAACGTGGTCTGGTCTAATCGAATAAATTTTGGGCTCGTTAGTCCGTTGTCCCAACCGACTATTGGTTGTTCGGTCGGTACATAGATTTTAGCAAAGCATTTGACAAGGTTTCGCACTTATGTCTTATTCAGAAGCTCTCGGGGTTTGGAGTAATAGGGCTGAACAGGGATGAATAGGAAACTTCTTGTGTGCTCGGGGACAGAAAGTGAGGGTCAATGAAACGCTGTCTGAATGGAAGCCGGTTAAAAGTGGTGTACCCCAAGGCACCATTTTAGGCCCTCTGCTTTTCTCTACGTTAACGAATTACCGCTTTCGCTTAAGTTGTCAACATTGTTGTTTGCGGATGGTGTGAAAATCTAGAGAAGAATAAGAAGTGAGGCTGATCATTTGGATACCCAAGCTGACTTAGATAAATTAGTTGAGTGGGTTCGAGGTTGAGGCTTGGAAATTAATTCTAGGAAGAGTGTGCAAATGCACATCGGACACGGTAATAGTTACAATTATACTATTGATGGTACATCTCTTCCACGCGTTCAAGTACATAGAGACTTAGGAGTAATAATAAGTCATGACTTCAAAACAACTACGCATTGCAACGCAGCTGCTGTCAAAGGTTTTCATGCGTTATGGTGGCTTCGCCGAGCATTCAAATGCTTTGATGAGGAAATGTCCCGAATTTTATACCCCACCTGTGTAAGATCAAACTTATAGTAATGTATCCAAGCAGCTAGTCCATACCTGATAAAGGATACTAACTCTCTTGGGCGTGTTCAGCGTGTGAGAACAAAAATAGTGAAGGGTCTTTCTAACCCCGCTTACGATGAGCGCTTAAAACACCTAAAACCTTTCCCCTTATCGTGTCGTAGGGCACGGGGTGACCTTACACTGTCATTTGGAATCTTTCATTATGATTTGGATGTTAATATGTCCTATATTTTTGCTCTCTCCAGCATTACTAATCTCTGAGGTCAGAGCAAGAAGGTTCACAAACCACGATCTAGTAAACTTAAAGTGGGATCCCGTTTTTCTCACCGAGTAGTCAAGCATTGGAACGCCTTACCCGAACAAGTGGTATCAGCCCCATTAGTGAATACTTTCAAGGAAAAGCTGGACCTTCACTGGAAAGCAATATGTCAGGATTAACACAGGTTCAACAAACAACTATCCTTATTAGTGAGGACTGAACGAAATCTAATTGGTTTCGGAACTCATTTTCGCTTAAAAATTTGAATTCAGTCTATTTTTGACTTGGTTAATGGGAAATTCACTAGCCTGAATTTGCAATGTTACAAATGACCACATTAGGCGTAATAAACATTCACACAAACTGACAGCAATAACTATGCCAAAATACTAATAAAGTGAAATAAATGTCATGTAACAAGCACAAACATTTTGAAACTCAAAGTAAGAGGGTTTATCTCAAAAATAACATACACTTGAATCCAAGGTTGCTCCAATTGATGAGTCATAAACACTATATATATTCCTTTGGTGTTCAGTTCAAGGAGTCACCGCAATTACCTTTGCATCTCTGGATCATCATAGGCCATGATAAAGTATTTAGATGGTAAAGATTAAATTAAATGTCTGCCCGTCAAAATGTCTCGAATTCATATATTTATATTTTGAGGATAAACTGATGTCTTGTTCTTTCAGGCGATATTTGCATATAGATTTCAGACCTTATTGCCCTCATATTAATTTATGACAAAGCTGAAGGCGATCATAAAAGAACGGACCTTGGAAATTTCTGGTTGATTGATCAAAAATATGTTACTTTGAGGAGAGATTGAACTGTGTTTGTAAAGATCACTCTGAAGGCACGCAACGAACCGATGCCAATGAGCGAGATAACTTTCAGTGCTCCTTTACAGTAAGTCAATCGATTACTAATCAATATTGAATTTATCTAGACTTTTCTAAGATCAGAACACAAATTAAAAATGCTTACTGGTTTAGGCTATTTCGTTGATATCGATTACAAACTAGAAAGTATTGGGAATTGCCTTGACCTAGTGAGAAAGTGTATGATCTATATTGAATTCAGATTTTGAACATTGAAATTTAAATCTCACATTTCAGAATTGTTACTTGTTTTCGTGTTTTGATCTTGTATGATTTAAAGTTGGGTGAAATACGATCGATTATGTTATGAATTTGCTAATACACTGAGATGTGAGCCGAAAAATATGAAATTGTTTTCAATATTTCATTGTAGAAGTATTCCATAGATTATATACGTTTATATCCGTGGAACTTTGTTGAATGGGAACAATTGTTCCCATCACTTAAGTGATTTTCTTTTACACCAGAGCAGGTACATTACATACTTAGCTTTAATCTTCGGCCAGGCCAGATAAAATGATTTGAACGGAGTCGGTTTTGCACTAAATGGATGTTTGAAATTGAGCAACTTGGAAGAGCAAAGACAAAAGAGACTATTTTTTATTTTGTCTTCTTCATAACTGTCAGTTGGTGTACTGACGTACTCAGTTTAGCTAAAATATCTTCATTGCATTTATCAATTTCCCGTCACTTCTATGAGTCGTGGTCATGGTTCGTATCAATAGGATACACGGATATAAGCATTCTCCAGAATTATATAAACAAAGCCCAACTTACACTTCACTTAGTCAGGATACATGTAGGCATATTGTTTTTTAAGCGGTTATTGACACTGGTTATAATGTGCATATGTCCATATCTTGAAACCAACAATAGATTACATCTTTTCCGTGAAAATGATTCTCCAAGTGACTGGAGATATGCACGACTAATTAGTTTTATATTATTCACATAGATTGCTCCACCTTTTCGTTAATTAATTTCTTTGATTTTAACCTAGTTTCCCGGTTTTTAAGCAATAGGTCTATACTTTTTTATCTCGGAGCTATTCATTCTTGTATAGTCTATTTCCTTAA